ATCCTTTTTAAGAATTTCCGGAATTTTCACAACTTTTTATTCATCGTTTAAGAATTTCCTGATTTATCATAAATCGAAATTTTTCTGATTTGTTTGTTAAATTTTTTAAAAATTTTCATAGTTTTCCTATTATAATTAATTATTATTGTATAATTTAGTTTTAGAAAATATATTTACTATTATAATTTGTATATTTTATTTTTATTTTTCATTGAATTTGGTCTTTAAAATGTTTCATTCAAATTTTTATAAGATTTGTGAGATTTTACGCTATAAAGTTTTAATTTTTTTTTATTCCTTAAATTGTATTATTGCATTGTTTGTATAATTTTTATTTAGTAGTGAAACTGTGATGTAAATTATTATTTTATTTTCTTTAGTGTACAGTGTGATTCAGTTTAATCATGTGAAAATTATATTATTATCGTTTTTATGTGCAAATTAAGTTTTATATTTATTCAGATTGTAAAAATTTTCATCTTTTATCAGTTCTTTATCAGTGATATTTTTATACTTACTTTATTTGATGCGTTGGATTATTGATGAGTTATATGTTATATTTTTTTAAATTTTCTTTCACAGAAATTCTCTTTTAATAAATAAAATTTTTAATGATCGGCAATTAATTTCTTAATTATTTATTATTTATTTTAAGAAATAGTTGATTTTATCGATAGCAATAAAGAATTTCTGAAAATATTTGAATAAAATTTATTCGTTTAGTATTTATAAAATTATATTAATCAACAAGTTTTCGGATTGTTTTCATCAGTCGTTGTATATATCTAGAAATGAAAATATTTTAACGATTATTATAATTAAATATAAATAATAATAAAAATATTTGGATTATGTCAAGTGTGAAATGATTGTTGTCTTTATTTAATCTATTCATATTCTATAAAAGGTGACAGAATTTCTTTTTTTTTTTTAAATTTGAATTTAATTTAAAAAAAAAATCATGAAAAAACATGAAAATATTTATGATTGTTCCGATAAACTAGAAACAATAAAGAATGTTCGATTATTTGAGAAAAATTTATTGAATTTATTGCAAAAACTTTATGCGCAACCTTGTAAAATATCTTTCAATACAAAACACCTTCTTTATTGAATTATTTTTTTAAAAAATATTTTTTAAAAAACAAAAAAAATTAAAATTTTAATAAATTTTAAAAATTAAAAAATTAATAAAAATTAAAAAAAAAATTTTTTTTTTAAATTTTAAAAAAAAAGTTTAAAAAATTAAATTTTTCAAAAAAAAATTTTGCAAATCATAATATTTTTATAAATGTAAATATTTTATAAAAGTAATTTTTCAATAAATTTTTTAAAAAAATAAATACTCGAATGAATTCATTTCATTTCATTCAATTCATTCATACATTCATAGAACTTTAGTAGCGTCACTTTCACATTAACTAACTGGTTAGTGTTTATTATTTCACCGTTGAGCGATTAATATTTTTTCATAAGAAGGTTAAAAGGTCATCGATATCATGGCGAAGAAACGAAACGAGTTTTAAGTCAGTTAAAGAGTGCTATCTTCTATAAGCATATTTTTCTATTATTATTAGGAAAGTGTATTTAGTAATTAAAATATGATTAAATTTTCGATCTTATATTATTGTTTTAGCCGATAAATTGGACCATTGTTTTTTTTTTTTGAATAGCGCTTATCAAATAGGCTTGTTAGAACAAATAAATTTTATCAGATTGTTATCACTTAGTAGTAGAAATAAAAATAAATCGTCATTCCAATTTTCGAAAGAAAGGCTTACTTTTTATCAATAATAAGACTTCAGCATTCGCGTTCCAAAATCACAACCTACTAAGCCATTCTATTCTCTATATGTGTCGAACCATTAATAAATAACGATTCAGATGGATGACACAATTATTTAACGATATAAGGCATTACGCTAATGAATATATTTCAGTGAGCGGATTTTCTTGATTTTAAGTGATCAATTGGGATATTTGGTTTATAAATAATATTCGACAATTATTTCCATTTCAATGGCGAAAAATTTTAATTGTCATCCCTTATCAAGCTAATTAAATTTCTTACAAGCAAGAGCGTCTTGCGCAAGTTTCATCGATGTAAAAAATCTTTATCATTATCATTCATTTTATCATTAATTAATTTCATAAACGACGATTAATTAACTAAATTATTTGAAAGATGAATAGATTAGGTCAAAATAATTGAATTCGATTATATTACGAAATATAATAATATTAATGGTATAAAACATATTAAAATAGTAATTATATTAGAAAGGTAAGAAGTTAAATACTATTTAAGGTTAACGACGACTAGAGACGACGATTCTAAGAAAAGGAATTCTTTTATGAAACCGGAATTGACACAAAAAGGGGGGAAGGAACCTTCGAGAGAGGCTTTCTCATTGAACGCAACCTGATTCTCTTCCATCGTTAATTGTTACCATCATTATCATTTATAGGTACGAAGCTCATTGCCAACACCTTCAACTATAATGCTACTCAATTTTCTTCTAATTGTATGCTTTTTTTCATCAAAAAATAATCTTATCAATAATAAATCAAATTTATTTACTATTTTAATTTTAATGCGTTATATCGATAAATATTTTGTATTTTTATGGGCAATTTTATTACAAATAAATTTTTACAATATTTTGTTAAATTTATCACATAAACTTTATTATTTTTTAACTTTTTTTTTTTAGCTAATTTATTATTATATTTTTACATTTTTTTTGACAATTTCTCTATTTGGCCATATTTAATAAAAGTAATAAAAGTAATAATTTTTATCTTAGGCTTTTATTCAACTAAAATTTAACAAAACGAAATTCGAAACAATTTTAAGAAAAATTTTTTTTTTTTTTTAAATTGGTCATTGCATAGGTTTCATTTTAATAATTTTTTTTTTTTTAATACGAATTGAATTTATATAGAATTTATATAGAAAATAATAAAGATTATATAATTTTTTTTATTAGAAGAATAAAATAAAATTTAGATTTTAATACTAAGCGATTTATGTTGGAATGACGATTTATTACTCGCTAATGAACCAACAAGAAAATCGGCTGTTCGCCTTCGACTTGGTGATCAAATTTTTCAACAAATCTCGAGAATTTCGGGTTCGAATATTTTTTATAATTTCCGATTATTGATTATAAAAATTTTTTAGTTCACTAATAATTGTTTCTTAAATTTTAGAATTCTAATAATCATTTGTTTTAATAATAATTTTTGCTTTAAAAAAAAAAAGTATTATCATATCAGTTATAACATTATTTTACCACATTTTTGATAATATTATATGCCCTCAGGTGAATGAATTATTTTGATTATCTTTAGAACAAAACATTATTAATCAATCCGATTAAAAACAATGCTACATTGTCTTTTTTTTTTGTACTTTAATTAGGCAAATTAAAGAATTCATTTTAGTTTTTAATTAAATCAACACCAATATCATTTCTCGCATTTTTGAACGATTTGATAGTGAATTATCGGATGATCACAAATTGCATTCATTTCTTTTTTTCGAAATCAAAAAAAAAAACAAAAATTATTTTAGAAAATATTTTCTGAAAAATTATTGAGCAATATTTTTTGATCTTGTAATTTTAATTTCGAGTATATATAGAATATATTTTTTTAACTGATAAATTCGATAAGTTATCAAAGCAGAGAAGTTATCAGAGAAAAAATAACGGTTTTCGGTACTTTTTACTAATGTTTTTTTGTCAATTATTGTATTTTATCGTTTGTGCTTCATTTTTCTTTTTTCTGAAACGATTTAATCAATTTGAAACAATTATTTTCGATAATTTCAAATAAAATTATTTTTATACATAGAAAATATTAATTTGTATTGTTTCTGAAATTATCGTTATCACTTAACTTAGTTCTACACTTTATAATATAATTTAAATTTTTTAAATCTCAAGAAATTATTAAAATTATTTTAATTAAAAAAACAACTAGTGTATCTTTTTGATCTCGAACAAGGCGATTTTCAATTAATATTTAAATTAATATTTAAATATTTTTGTTTTAATAAATATTTTTTAATTGATGCCTTTCATTCGATACTTTCAATTAGTTTTTATGATAAGTTATGAAAATCACTACCGTCTATCGCTATCACTATCACTATTATCACTGTCGCATTATCAATAAATTTTTATAATCATCTAATTCCTTTTTTTTTGTAAAAATATTTGCTAATTTTTGAATATATTTGAAAATATGATACCGCCTAAAAGATTATCAAAGAATTTTTAAGGTAAATAATTTGATCAAATTGAATAAAAATGCATTTATATTCGACATAAATTGCGCAACTCATATTGTCATATTTTCGAAATACTCTTAAGAAATACTTGAGAACAATAATTTCTTCTCTTAAATATGGCAATAATGTAAAATTCCTAAGATTTTTTAAACCTTCTCGAATTTCTTTATATTCATTCTTTTGTACTCTTCAATTTTTTTTTTGTTTATATTTTATAAAAGATTTAATTAGCCAAGTTTGAGAGACAAATTTGAGGACATTCCTATTATAAATATTTTATTTATCTATAATTTATTCTTATATTTATTTCAGATTATATTTTATAATAAAATTAAAATTTTTATTGATCCTGAGATTTTATAAAAATATCGTATAACTTTATAATTCTATTAGGTAATCATCGATTGTCAAATTACATTTGTCAAATGCAATTATGTCAGATGATTGGTGTCATCGATTTAATAATATCCATTATTTTCAGATAACCATAATTATATTTTCATATTGAGAAAATAACTAATTTAGATGTTTCTTTACAAAAAAAAAAGAAATATTTCTTTAAAAAAAATATTTTTACAAATAGAAAACGATGATATTATTGAAATTAAAAATTATTTCTACTAAATTATTTTCAAATATTTCCTCTTGATAAATTCATTTTTTTTTTGTTATTTTTTTATTATTATTTATATTTAATTTAGGTTACTTATATCAAAAACAAATCAGAAATATTGTTATACCAAATCAACAACAATGTTTTATCGAAGGATGTGTGCAACTCTATGATTTTCAAATTATTTCTCAAAGTTTACCGAGAACTTCATTTCAACCAAATCCACCAAATCTTCTTATGTTGTCGTTTATTAATTTCGATTTGCAGTTAGTATTGTTGATATTCATAAAGATAAAAAACATTGTAAATAGCTAAACATATTTTAAAGTTTTTCTTAAATTTTCTTCGTTTCGTAAATTTTTAGTCTTTTTGGTTCGTTATCCGGGGTTCTTCAAATGTTTCCTCCACTCCCACTGATGGTTCCTACAATCGGTAAAATATCAATCTCAGCAATACAGCTGAATGTTCGAGCTGTTCTTGATATTCAAAAGACATTGAACGACACACCATATATGCGAGTGGTTAGCTGCCGTCTAGAAAATGGTGTTGTTAGTGCTCGAGCAGAAAATATTGGCCTATTAACTGATTTGGCAAATTTAAAATATCAGGTATGGTCAGGTATGATTAATATTTCTAAGTAGAGATTTTTTAAAGTTTTTAATTAAGTGGCTAGGTAAAAAATTATGATTAGCCAACTCGATATTTATTGGGTTCTTTATTCGATTCGATTCCTCTAGTAAATACAATTGACTTAAAATAATTTCTCTATATTTTACAAGAGGCACTAATATTCATTAAAAAAAACATTTTATAAAAATCAGAAATATGATAATTATGCTAACTAAAAACTAAAAAACTAAAAAAAAAACTAAAAAAAAGCCTGTTCAACGAACCTACGGAACTATCTTCAAAGATGGTGTATTTTTCCTTATCCAGTGTATTTAAACCCTATTGCAATCGTCTTCCAGAATTTTATTATATTCCCTTAACATTCTTTAATTTCCATTACCAGTCATATTATCCTTTGTGATGTTATAATTTTCAACTGCCGTCGCTATAGAAGAGGATTTGGCAGGGCGTTAAATAGAACATAAATGATAAGAGAATGTGATAAAATAGATGGAATAAGTGGCGTTAAGAAGATGCAATTGTTTTTAATGAGGGAAAGGAAGTGGTATTAATAGTAAAATACTTCGAGAGAAGTACTTTTTGGGGATGATAAGAAGGCACTTAATAGAGGCTAAAGAGATTTTTCACAAATATTTTAGTTTTCTATTACTATTAAAGAGTTTCAGTTGTTGACGTTGAACTGAGATTTCTGTTATATTTTTCGATTTAATTAGTTAATTTTCGAAAAGTAATCGAAAAGTAAAAGTAAATTAATCTACTAAAATAAAATTCTATAATAATATAGTATATTTTAAAAGTTTCTATGATTTAATAATCCTTTGAAATAATGTTGCATTTCATTTTTTAACTCTATTTTTTCGTGGTTTTCTCAGGAAGAAATGAGTGCAAAGGCTCGAGAAACTATCGAAAATACACTCTGCGTCAATATCAAAACGATTATAGATGATGAATTCAACGTACGTGTGGCTAAAATTCCGGCCAAGATTTATTTCAAAGATTTTCTTAAAAATTTTATTCAGGTAATCATTCATTTTGCTGCTATCTTTCGAATCTATCTATTTGACTGGAAATTTTATTTCATAATAAAATGCTTTAATAATAATATTGATAATTAATTTCTGATAGATTAATTTTTTTTTTTTAGATATCAAATAATAATTTTAAAAAGCAACGTTATAAAGACGAAAGTCAAACTAATATCGATGAGCTCGATACACCGAATCACCGAGGTTTGGCTTATTGTTAATTTTCATTAATTTTCGATTATCTGAATAAGAAATTATTAAATAAAAAGTTGGAAAAATTTATTTATCTCAGTCGGATTTCATAACTTTTTAATTCTAACCTTCAATAAATTTAATATATAAAATAAATATAAAAAATATATAAAAAATAATTTTTCATATAAAATAATTTCGTCATCTCTATTTATATTTTTTGTAATTTTTTTAATTATAATTTAAATAAGTTATAAATTTTCCATAGATTTTCGTTTTGTTTCAGTTCATCACGAACAAGCAGCTCAGTCACCTTTGTCGTTGGATACAACATTCTTCAGTAGCGTAATATTTCTTCAGATTTATTACCTCATTTTTTCACATTTTTTTCCATTTCTTACTTTTTTACTTATTGTTTTTAGGGTTTTACAATTCAAAATAGATTTATCTTATAGAAAATATCAAATATTTTCCAATCTTTTTGTGGAATATTTATCGACTTAAAAAAAAAAAAAAAAAAGTTCTGAAAATTAGTTCTCTTCAATTGTTTAAATAAAACCAATCATATATAGCAAGAATTTCTCAAATCTGAATATCGTTATCATTAATAAACAACAAAGATTATCTGTTTAATTAAGATCAATAGTTAAGGTGTACATTCTTCATCGATGGTACCATTTAAATTCATTCTAACGAATTTCTAACGAATTTTAGTGAAAATACATGAAACATTAATAAAGATTAGAAGCAAATTGAGATTTTTATTTTTTTCAGTTTTATAACTAATTACCACTTTTATTTATAAAATATATTAAAACAATTTTTTTTCAAGAAGGCTCACCATTTAATCTGATTAGGCTTGCTTAGCTGGCTTATCAAAACTGGACATATTTTGCTATAGAATCATTTGGCGATAGGAATACAGGTGAAACGCCAACATTATTCGGATTTTTGAAAAGTTTATTCCTGCTGAAAATAAAATTCTAGTATCGACGCTCCAAAATGAAAGTCCATAATCCATTGAGCTATTCTATTCGATAAAATGTAATAATTACGAAAAATCTAATGAATTTATTTCAATTAAATAAAATCTCCTATAATATTTTATAAAAATTTTTTAAAGGATAAATTGGAGCCACTTATTATTTCATTGGAATTATTAGATTCAAGCGCTTCATATGAAAAATTTTTCATTGGAATTGATGGAAATATATTCGTTGCAAATCGCAAACTTACTGTGGTATTCTTCTAAACTATTTATACTACTTTCTGAAATTTCTTCACAATTTATTTATTTCAATCAAAATTCATGTTATGCCAACTGTCCTTCCTTCTTCCTCCTCTTCTAATCACTGAAGATGCTTCCAGATGCTTTCGCTATTGTAAGGTATTTTCCAAGCAATAGGAAGCCATTTTCAGAATCGCTTCCATTTTTTGTTTCACCTAAGCTCAATAATTGCTTGTGCATTAAAAATCTTTCCTTACTATATCGATCTGGTTTAAATGCACCTCTCCTTGTTATTGTTGTTGTCCGTTAAAAGGACTCGCATTCCACGAAATATTTAGAATGGTAAGCCAGTGCAATAAGCGATGAAAATCATGGTGTAACTAGTGTAGATGAGGCTATTAATACTAACGCACAATGTAATCGTATGAGATTTTATCTAATTGAGTAGAATTATTCCTGAAAAACCACCCCAGTTAAAACGTATAAATCCTTTTTCTCCAAGGCTATAATTCTTTAGATTGACTAAATCATTTTGGCATTGTTATAGAATCCTTATCTGCGTCCGTCCAGTCTTCGTTTTTCAAGCTTATCAAATGATCGAATGCTCGATATACTTATTTCAGAATATACAATAAATACGCTCTTGCTACGTGCTCATAGGTTTGCGGTCAATTACTAATTACCAATAATTTTTCGCTGTATATAATGCAATTAAAGGTATCATTGTAGCAAATTTAGTACCGCAAATTTTCTTTATCGAACGATTTGTTTCGAATTTTTTTCAAGCATTTAAATTTTAATCAGTTTCCATGCTTTTTCTAAAATAAATATGCCTCTGGCTTCGCTTTGACACCTCTGCAAAATGCCAACTCGTGTGGAATACCTATGGAATACCTATTGGTATTTTATTGGAATATTGGTATTTAATATAATGGTATTTAAGTGTTGGTGCTGGTGTATTTCATATTAATTCAAAGACACCCATTTTGGGTGAATTATTACGTACAACTTGTTCACCTGACGAAGTTTGTTTATCAGATAGTGTACCAGAAGTTGGTGAAAAATATCCTAATCGGCAACTCGAAGTTATTTTACGTACAACTGTAACTCCACAAGTAAAATTATCCAATGGTAAAATTACAAATTTAAATTTATTTATTTATTTTTCTGATTTCCCTCTATCATTTATGTGACATTTATAACGGTTAAAAAATCTTTTATTACCTAATAACCTATAATTTTATTGCTTAATAACTCATTGGTAATTTAGGAACAGCAACAATTCGTTTAGAAGGTCGTGCTTTTTTCTTCTTAGAAGGAACATCAATTAAAGTCGGTAAAATTCCATTCGAAACAATCGCGACATTTTTCTTTTCAACAATTCATGATCGTCTTACTGGTTGGTTTTTCAATATTATTTAGCATATCATTAAATAATATAATAAAATTAGCAATACACTTAAATTAAAGACAATAAAAATATGCAAAAAATTATTAAAAAACGCGTGATATTTGATTAATATGAATAATTTTTTTTTTTCTCTAAAGTTTTTTATTAAAAAGCAAAAACCTTATTTTTTCTTTAGAAGCCTTGGATTTAGTCAATATTTTAATATTTATATTCATATATTATAATATTTATAATATTTTATATTTTAAATATTTTAAAATATTTTAAATAGATTTTAAATAGATTTTATGAATAGCATTATTCTCATTTCATTTCAAAACTAAGCAGAAACGGTACATAGAATAAACTACTGTGAAGTTTCCATTAATAAATAATATGAACGAATAAGCCATAAGTCTTTAATAAAGTCCTTTAGACTACCAATAATAATTTCCTTTGGTACTTTTTGGTACTTTTACTTGCTATGTTGGAATTTAAGAATTGTAATTTTTCAAACAGTCCAATCTACTATAACCATATAATATTTTGAAAATTAATAAAACTAATTGGTACATTCATAAGTCGTCGAGTCGATTCGATGAGCAAAACATATTTTTGTAACCTAAGAAATATTTTTATGGTATGTGTTGTTAGATGAATAACAGTAATCTATAATAATAATATTATTATTTCTAACATGAGATGAATAATTGTTTTCTTATAATGCAAATCCCAAGTATTATTTCATTGTTTAGGTGATGCTGGCGATTAGTAATTTGCTATAAATTTAAGTTGAGGATAGAATAGCTCAGTGGGTTATTGCTCAATTCGGAGCGCCGATATTGAAGTTCTACTCGCATAAAGTGGTAAACTTGTCTAAAAATCCGGGTGATGCTAGCTACTCACTTGTACTTCTATCGCTAAGGTACTCCTTGGCATATTTGTCTTGTACGACAGGCCAGCTGAGCGAGTCTAATCGGTAATAATAATAATAATAAATTTGATCTGCAAACGAATATTCTTTCTCATACAAATATGAAAATAGATTATTATTTATTTTCAGGTTCAATGGCTATATCAAAATTAATCTTCAAGAAAGATGTCGATTTTTTTGATTTACCCGTTGATTCATTAAATGGATTACGTGATGCAACAAAAGGTGCTACATTAAATTTATTAAATACTCTTCTTAAAAAAGGTCTTCCATTAAATAAAACTAAAGATTTACAAATATCCGAACCGCTAATAAATATTGTTCATGGTGCATTTATTATACAAGTAAATTTTGATTTAGAACGTGATTTTTATAATAAATCTTGAAATTTTAAATTTTTTTAAAATTTCGAATTTTCTGAGAAACATTGATCTCTATTTTTCTCTTTTTTTTTTTGTACATTATGTATATTTTTGCAATTTAATTCAAGCAAAAACGATTATATTATAATTCTTTTGAAAAATAAAAAAAATTTTTTTTTCTTTTATTTATTACATATTTGAAAAAAAATTTAACTAAATAATTTCAGTGGAAAAAAACAACTAAGCCAAGGTTGACTGGAACGACATTCGAAAACTTCCTAGGCCTAGTGAGAATTTAGTCCATGAATATTATAACATACAACCTGTTTGATTTAATATTTACTTGAGGATATTTCTAAGTTAATCTCACTTCTAGTAAGATTATCAAAATTACTGATAAATTACTGATGAATTGTAAAGGAATTGCACATCGAATAATTGCATTAAACGAATGCCGAAAACAGTGATCAATGTTTAAAATGTTTAAAACAAATCTAATTGATCAAGCTAAATCCAAATTAACTTATAAGCCAAATTATCAAGCCATATCGATATTTTCAAATCAAAAAATCGTTGTTAGTTAAAAATAACCCAACAAGAATAGTGATAAATGACTCGATAACTTGAATTAGAATCATTTTTATCACTTATCACTTAATTACTTTTGAGGGTCATTATACAGTTAGAGAAATAATTTAGTAGAGTTGCCATTTTTGGACATATTTGACGAGAATCTCTGTTAACAGCAAAAATCAAAATTTGATCAAAAATAATTATAAGATGATAGAAATTTACATTCAATTTTGAAGAAATAAAAAGTTTCACTAAACTAGTAAAATTGGTACTTGCGATATTTGTACCAATAATGGTATTTACGGCATTTGGTCAATTCAAATCAAATCTATGGATTTGTTGCGCCTTTGACGTAAATTCGGAAATATGAAACAATTTTTGAATAATTCAATTCTCAAGAACCTTTTTGAAAACGATATCCACCCATTTTGACCATTTGATCTTAACTATCTCAATAAACAAAGAAAATATAAAAGAAAAAGCACTTTTAGAACGATCCTTTCACCAGAGAGACGCTTGGCTGGAGAATTACCATAGAATTACTTGGCTAAAAAGAGAATGATCAAGCCTATTTTTAAAAAATTTATAAATGAAAGGTTAAGAAAAATGCAATAAATTTAAAAGAAAATCAATTAGTTAATGAATAATTTGACCTCACCCAAGCCAAAATAATTCTCTAATTGCAAAAATCTTTAACAAAATGTCAAACAAATAGCGATGACATTGCCAAATTACTGGCTTAAATTCTTTCTGTAAGTAAGATTTCTCTTCTTTTTAGTCTTATTTGTTTAAAATTTAAATGATAGAGTGATTAAAAACTTTATAGGTAATTTTGTTTAAGTTAGTTTCAAAATTTGAATATAAACAGGGCGAAATCACAAATAACTAAAGCAGGTTTTGTTCATTCGCTCTTTTGACGAATCGACAAAAGCGCGACGCTCTTTTGACCAATTCTTTCGCGAAATCTTTGACTAAAAGAACTAAATCTACTAAGTAATAAATCACTAAATAATTTGTTCCAATAACTAACGATATAAAAAAATTTAAGGGGTATCAGTTTCATTTTTATATGAAAGTTCCCTATTACATTCTAAACTAATGTGGGAAATGATAACTTTAATAATAGTGATAAGCAAATAAATCAGATTTTTTGTAAAATTCTCTTCATTTCTTTTAGATTTATAAATAAATTAAGTTATAATTATCATCATTAATAATTAAATATGCATTATGTTACATAATCATAAATCAAAAATGTCAAAAATAAACTTGACATTGACAAATTACAAATAGTTAAAACCCTATAAAACAGTAAAAACTTTGTAGCAACGAATAATAAATCATCAATAAATCATTCACGGTTTGGCTCGCTCTTTTTGGCTGTTGGTACCATTAGTGAAATGATAAAGGAATCTAGGTTAATGATACTTGGTACTTGGCAATTATTTATTTGCCTATTTGGCTATAGAAATATGAACTAATAGCCAAGATTATCCAAAATATATATATTATATATAATTTGCCTTCTATAAATTTTATTGTTTATATTTAAGATTCCTTAGAAAATCGAATAATAAAACGAAGGATTTCTCCCATGCAAATAAGCATTGGTTAATCAACCAGACGTCGTGACGGTAGACCGAAATCAGCACGAGAGATAGATGTAGCAATACTAAATGACAGGAATGTTAGGAAGAGGGAATAAATATAAGAAGATAGAGAAATACCATCGGCTGAAACAGGAAATTACAGACGATGTGGAAAGTGAAGACCAAATTAGTCCCAGTGATGATTTCAGCATTAGGAACGATGACCACTAAGCTAAAAAAGTGGCTCCAACAGATTCCAGGAAAAATCTCCGTCATAGATCTCCGTCGAGAAGAGCAGCCAATTGGGAACAGCTACGACAGCTACCGCGCTCCTGGACCCCTGACCTCTAACACTTCTGGTAGAGAACTCACTCTAGGCTGAGGACGACCCTTAATACCCAGGCTTCAGGCCATAAGAAAGAGATCTTTTTTTGAATTTTATAAGATACGCGAGCGAAATTATGAATACAGTATGAATTCTAGTTGAAGCTCTAAATCACAAGAGAAGATCGTTCATTGTAAACAAATGGGCATTTGTTGATTGGTCGGGTTCATCTCGGTTATGTGGTACGGTCGAGGAGGCTGATTTGATCCATTTTGATTTGGTACTTTTTTTGTGGAGGGGGTAAAAGGGAGGTGGGTTTTCGCTCGTATAGCATTTCACGAGTCGTATATTTAAAAATTTAAAATTGCTTCATTTTCGGGAAATTCTTTTTTCCTAACATTTCACGTTTACATTGAATAAGTCTGACGTCCGATCAGTGAGGTGACCAAGTAGTACCAAAGTTATTTAGTATATTTCTATATTGTTCATTCTAGGCGATACTTACGACTCACCCATATTTCTGTCACCAACGGACTGCATGGCATATTTATCTTGTACGATAAACCAGTGCAGAGCGAGTCTAACCAATAATGGTGAGGGCTCTTAAAAAAAAAATATTGTTCATTAATAATGAAGTGTGCACAAAAGTTCATTAGGTTATCTATGTAAGATATTCATTATTATTAGTTAAGCAACAAGCGGAACGGTTGATTGATACTTGGCGAGGTTTTTTGTTTAGTTTTAGTGAGGCCGGTGAATGTTAAGGAATGGAATTATTTCGGTATCTAATAATAATAAGAAAAAATGTACTGTAAGCGAGAACTGAGGAAAAATTTTTTTGAAGAGTCCTTAAGGCTTAAGGCAAGTAATATACTGATTTTTTCTTTCGCTTTGTACTTCTATTTAGGTTGGTTCCACTGATTTGTTGAAGTTGGACTAGGGAGATTTTTTTTTTTGAACTAAGCAAACTCCATTGAGTCGATAATCGATACAGCTAAATCACCAGGTCTAATTTGAGCAATGAAAAGGAGGTATGAGAAGGAATTGTGATGTTATTGCGCGAAAATTATCTTTTTTTGTATTCATTTTAGCCTGAGGTGATTTTAAAAAATAGCGAAGAAATTTCTAGATAAATTAACATCAGAGGCTTTTTCTTTGTGGAAATATTTGTGGCAGATTTATTTTGGTTAACTTCATGGGCTACAAAAATAAAGCATTTTAGCTAAAGAATCAATGGGTAAAATTCATGGATTATTAAGGCTCATGCATTCGCCTTAGTTCCTCAAAAAATTTAGTCATAATTTATGAGTTTATATTGTGTTTTCTGTATTTCTTCTTCATTAAGTACCAACGTTTATCATATTTTTCGTTTGTTGTGAATTTTTTCACCATGAAAGTGAAATATTTTTCTCTTATTTATGATAATTTTTTTATTTTAATCATTTTTATTTTTTGCGTAAAAATAAATTTTTCAATAAATTCTTAGATTTTCAGATCTTTTTTTTCTTGAGAAAAGCATTAATGAATTCGAATATTAAAGATGGAAGTCAAAAAAATTTTGAAATTCTTAACGAGTATACATCAAGTGGAACTCAACAAAATTTTACACCTATAGAACAACAAAAAAATATTGTAAACGTTGATGAGCAAATGATTGAAGTGTCCGAAAATTTACGAAAATTTATTGCAATTAATTATGGAATTGATTCGACATCATATATGTTTATTCGGTCAAATAATGTAAATAGGTTTGTTTTTGTTGTTGTTTTTTTTTTTAATTTATTTATTATTTTTTATTATTTATCAAAAAATATAAACAAAAACATAAAGTGTTTCAATAAAATAAATCTGTGGCTATAGAAATTTTTTGGCGAAATTTATGCAAAAAATATTCAGCATTAGCGTTGATTTCTTTCATTTATGCTAAAATTTGCGATTTTTAAAGTTTTATTATTGGTTAAATACGTAAATGTTTAGGTAAAAATATTTAGCATAGAAATTTTGAATAATTTTATCACAATCAACGAAAGAGAGTAATCTCGGCTTTCGATTGAAATTTTGGTACTATTAGTGCTAATATATGCTAAGCATTAATTAGTTTAGTTTTAGTTAGATTTAGTTAATTTGCGGCCTTTCTGGTGTCCTCAACTTTGTTTTCAACCTATTCTACACCATTATTACGCATATAAATATAAGGCTATAGCACCGAAATTATTGAATATAAATTATTTGGCAGTTATTTCTAGTAATTGCATTTATCTGGACAGAGCGATCTGATATTCATATTTATATGTAATGTAAATAATTTTAGATATAATTTTGATGCTTTGATATTGAATTTTTATGATATGGCATATGTAGAATATTTTTCATTACTTTAATGAGCAAATAGATTTAAACGATGAAAAAACGGAAATCGCTTAAATTTTGTAAAAAGTTATAGAAATGTTACTAAATTTGTATTTTTTTTTATTTCTATATTTTTTTTTAAATAAAATATTATTTAAGAGTTTACATCTATGCAAATTCATCGTTATATTATATCGATTTTGCCGAAGAAATTAATGGAAAATCGAACAATAAAATTATGGTTTGTGTTAGATTATGTATATCCATAAAATAATTGGCTATTTGTTAATGTGTTTTTCCGGAAAAAACTTATCTATTTTCTGGAAAATCAGAATATCTCTTAATTCATTTTAAATAGTGTTACCTATTCTTCAAAAACATTTTAGCCTAAATCCTAATTTTAGCCTAAATTAATAATAGTTTTTTTATAAATCTTATCACCCTTAAAATCCTTCAAATTCCGTCTTATCTCTCTAAAACTTCTCGAAATTAATTTATTGGTAAACATTGCCATAAACCTCCTTTTATTTTATAGTACTTTGGTTGAACAAGTTTCTCGCAAATATGTTCATCAGCGCTTCCAATATCCCTTCTCTCCATTATCTTACAAAACTGCACCACGTGTGATGATTATAACCTTCTTGAACTTTCTTTTCTTTCTTTATATGTCTATTGTGTCCTTATTGGTGTTATTGGTAAATACGGCATACTTTGGTGCCATAGACCGTTATACTAATATTTCTTAAAAACTCGTCACGTCGTCTTCAATATTGTCTCTTTTTTGAAATTTTTTATTTTCTTCTAAAATTTGCTTTATGATATAGTTTCTCAGATTCAGTCAAATATTCCTTTAACGTCGTCTAAGTGCCCTTCCACTCTTTCACCATAGTTTATCAATTGCAACTTTAAATTTTTCCTAGCGCTTTTTCAAAATTCTTCCAAACCCAGATGTACCATTTCAGTGCACTCATCCTTTTATTTTTCCTATTATCTTCTCATGCCTCATATGCAACAAAGTTTTTCCTAGGATCGCAGCAAATTATTAAATCATTCACAATGAGTTATAGCAGAATTGTCGCGACAGTCAAGCGATTTTAAAGCTTTACGAGAGGAATATAAGGAGCGTTTAGGGCACAGACTAGATTTTGAAAAAATGTCAAGGAATAGCTAAGGTTGAACAATTTATCATATGTTCCGAGAAACCTCATTCTATTTCAGTTTTTTCATTCATTTCCAATCTTATCCGTTAAATGCTATGCTAATTCTCCTTAAAATTTTTCTTATTTTTTTTCGGGATTAGCTGCTCGCTGAGAATTCTGCTTTTCCGGATCCGACAAATAATATCTCCTTACTTCCCTAATAGCATTATCAGGCCTTACTATATTTTGCCCTGAAAGCAGCGAATGATTGTTGCATTTGCTTTGAATCTTGTCTCCGGTAAGAGCAAATCAGCCATTAAAAAATTCTATTGAAGGTAGTAGAATTGCTTTTGCTTCTACTATTGATTTTCTGGCAAAAATTTTTTATCTTACCACAGCATGTAGATTTAGTCGAGCCAGATATAATAGGCCCTCATTTTTGCTTGCTTTTACTCCCTTAGCATCACTGGAAGCCTGCTTTTTCTTTTGGTACTCCACCAATCTTTCGCACTCTTTTATCGTATCACATTAGTAATACAAACTTTACAAGATTTACATCTCTAATTTCCTAGAGACGAAGTCGCTTGATTAACAAAATCTTCAGAATCTATGCTTTATGCTTCATTCTCTAAAACCTCTTTGTTCTCTAATTCTCCATCAGTAATCTCTGCATTCTTCTGTGGAAACAGCAGTTATCCATCGTTAAGTTTCCTCACTCTATATTTTGGTAAACCGACTCAGTGGTACTATAGCGAACATCAAAAACCTTTCGCTCTAATCCATCTCTTAAAAACCGCCAATATTGCATACAAATTCTCTGATTATGATGCTGAATCTTTTAATGCCTGCGAAATACTCTCTTCAAATCAACAGAGTCCTGTCGTAACATTTTTACGATAATCTAAGTGATCATTTTAAACGTTCTTCTTCCTACTGCTTTAGTTAACGCTTCCAAACCTTGCTTAATGCTACCCACCCTCATTTTATTGCTTTAATACCATCAAAGCCTGCCATTGCCACAGTAGCAGTCATAAGGACATTTGTCACAATTGGAATCAAGATTAGTGGGATCTGAGGAGTATAATGAAACTTTGAAATTAAAGGTGATGATTTGGCAGGTGTGGCAGAGCACATTACTTCAGAATTTGAAAGGGTTTAAGGGAATGCAGTAAATTTTGATAATTATCAAGGAGTGTACGACGGAAGCACCAGATCGCACAGGAAACGTCTTACCCCTGTAGCCAGTCTAACCAGTTTAGAGAGTAATGATGAGAGTTAGAAGTATTAGAGTTTGAAAATAATTCTAACCGTCCATAGGATCGGCCTTTTGCTACTTATTGTCATCATTCATAAGTTTTATTAAAATAATCCTTTCATTTGTTATGCTGGTTTAGTTTAATAGGAACTTAGCTAATAATAGTTTATTTTCTCAAATAAGATTCTTTTTAAGCCAGTCGCACCGTTACACAGTCAACCTTATGTATCAAATGGCATTTTAACAGTAAGTTCATCGAAGTGGCATATGATGACTGATACGGAGCGTGAAAGCATGCTGAGAGGTTATTTTGCTTAGATTTTCGTTTTTAGAGATGAAATATTTACAATCTTTATGAAATTATATTTTTAGTGGAAAAATTTTTTTTAATTCAGAAAAAAATGATAGTACTCTTAGAAAGAAGACAGATCAATGCATTTAAAACAGCTTTATGCAAATCATTCAAGCAAACAGGCTTTTGTGTATTTGGAAATTCTTGCCGTTTTGCACATGGTGAGGAAGAACTTCGTCTGCCACCTCAGGTTCAAAATTATTTCGGTTTGTTAGTGTAATTTTAACGAAATAATTTTTAATAGATTGATTTGAATTTGTGTTTATATCAATCATTTTAGGCGCATCCGAAATATAAAACTCAACTATGCAATAAATTCGTTCTTCGTGGATATTGTCCTTATGGCGCTCGATGTCAATTCATTCACTACGTTCCAGATCATGTACCACTAAATAATGCGAAATCATCAGTATGTTAATTGTAAAACAAATAAATTGACTGGCGCAACAGCACCTATTTTTGCGCCTCCATTTGTAAGATGAGGAGATATAAGTATGAAGTAATGCAGTTCGACTGTGATTTGAAAAATTCTTCAAAATCAATGCATAATATTTTTAAAGCTAATACGTTATTGTCGAACAAGTTCGATAATTCTTATATTGCTAATTTTAGGTAGATTTGAATAGTGATCATGGAATAAAACAACAAATGTTTTTACAAACTTATCTTTCAAATCATCATTCTGCACTTGTCAACTATCGAAATATGAGTCCCACAGATTGGTCTCTTTACTTCATTTTTTAATAATATTTTGGATCTACGAAAAAGAATTCTTAAAATTTTATAAATGTTTATACGTTCATTTTCAATATAAGATTATTTACGTGTTTTTTTTTATAAATTAATGATTCTAAGTTCCCTATTTTTTTTTAGTTTACAAAATCCTCCGAATTTAATGGTATCCAATCGGCTTACTTTTTCGTTGTCCAATCGACAGTTCAGTGATGCACTTTATGAGTGGAATAAACGAGAAGCTAATAAGGTTTTCCTGAATGACCGTTTTTTTTCTAAATTTTGACGAAAAATTTGTTAAGTTTAATCTATTTTAAGAATACGCGCATAAATAGTAATGGCGAAATAGAGTGTTCGAACGCATCCAATTGGCTTGGAAATGATATATCAAATGCAGGTGGTAGTAGTCGATGCAACAATGAGCAACTTGACTTACTTAAAAAATCTTTCGGAAATTGGTTAAGTTTTATTCTATCAATCATAAATTTAATAGCTATTCGATTTTTGATGCATGATTAGAAATGAAATTTAATTTTAATTTCAGGACGCTGAACGACTCGAATTCTACTTTCCCAAAATGATATATTTTTAGTTTTCAATTAGAAGATCAAGAATGGTCGAATGTAAATTTGTCAACAGTTTGAGACAAACATCATAATTTATTATCGATTCGATGTATTTTTAAGAATGTTATTTTAGTTATTTTATTTTTAATTGCTATTTTTTTTAAGTTTTTAATAAATTTGGAATTTCTAGAAATTTTAAAAGTTGTTAAAAAGATATCCTTTTAATTTTTTATATTTGTATCTTATTACGTATCGTTCATTCCTTTATCACTTTTTACGTTCCATTCATTTTATTGGCGATATGATTATCTGCAAGTTTTCATGTTACCTTGTAATTAGTGTGTTGCTAGTGTATCTATTTCTCTCGTATTTGTGGCACCGGGACAATTTTAATTGGCTTTTGGGCCATTTTAAATTTTTATTCGATCGAGGTTGGGAGTGTTTTTTGCAGAATATATTTTTTATAAGATATCTGAAGGGATTTCTGAAACGTGAAAGAATTTCTATTTTTTAGTTTTTTTTCTTTGTCTTTGTATTCCATATATAATTTTTTTTGTTTTCATTCTTAATTTATTAGGTTATTTATTGAACTGCTTTATTGGTTTTATGGTTTTGATGTTACATCTGTTATTTTTCACAATTTTGCTGATTACAATATTTGTACGTTTGGTCGGTGGTTCGTTCAGTTGAAAAATGTCATTAACTGAGGATAGACAATTATTCTAAAGTTATTTTTTTATTATTGGATATTTTGATATTTTTTATCAGTGGTTGCATTTTAATTGGCAAATGCTTTTTTTGTTGTACACTTTAGTTTGGTATTTTCGACTGTGTGTGTTAGGTAATGTTTTATATGTTTTTTATGTATCTAATCGCTTAATTATATGTTCATTTATTCAAATTTATTTTTTTTAAATTTTCAATGTTAATGTTATTTCTACAGGTTATTAAATAAATCTATTTTATTAAAATATATAAATATATTTATTTATTGAAGCGTCGAATTCGTTTCGTGTATTTTTGTTGCTATTTGGTCACATAAGTGTATTATCAATAAAAATTGAAATTCATTTGAGGCTTATAGTCAAACAGTTATCTGGCAAAGCCATATTGGCCAGTTAATACTGGAAGAATTCGGAGAATATGACTGTTAAAATTTATCTGTTCAATGTTTAAGTATTAAGTCTCTCCTATGTTGTCGGTGCAAATGTTTGGGGTCGTGGTGAATGGTGTGTGATTTTGTCAGTTATCTGACCCAAATATTTGGATGATTCGTGAATTTTCGCAGTAATCGCTATTTAACCAGTTTAATAAAAGGTGAATGGTTGTATGAGTTAATAAGAAGATAGCAATAAATTGGTGTGACATAGAATAATATTACGGTGGGCTTAGCCAAGTATGCATTTGTATTGTGATGAACACATTGGCTATGGATAATATTAGGTGGGCGCAATTTATTCTGGTTTAGTTGGTTATAGCATCTGCTTGCGTGGAGTTGTTTAGGAATGAAAACATAGGTGATTCTTCCTGATGATTTGGATTATGGTTTTAACGGTAATACTGCCAGGAAAGGAGGAGTCGAACAACGTAGGATCACATGGCTAATTTTTTTCGTTTCTGAAATTTAAAAAGCTCAAAATTTTTTTCCCGGAATTTTCGGAAAATAGAGGACAATTCTATTTTTCCATTTAATGTGTGGCATCGCCTTTAATTTTAATTTTTAAAATGAAGTTTTTCTATACTATTTTAGAAATTTTCATTTGTGTTCGCAAAGAACGATATCTTAGGCCTTAGGCCTTAGGTTGCACTTTACTCAGAAAGGACCATACATAATGGAGATAAAGACATTTTATGAAAGCGGTACTTTTCTCTTAATGATAATTCTATAGTTCCAACATCTTTCGCTTTGACTATCGCATTTCGTTATCAGTTGTCATAGGTTAGTGTTTCTACTATTCTATAAAGCGTTGATTTTCGTTTTGTTTAAAAATTCGTTTTGGTTTTTTTTGAAAATAAAAGGAAATAAAAAAAAAAACGGAGGGAAAAGCGATGTTTTATCTATAAAATCAGCTCGAATTGGTAATTTTTTTTTTTTTTAAATTTCAATTAATGAATAAATCCGATCTAAAGATAAGTGTTTTTTTTTATAATTTGAATTCACTGTGAGAAATGTTTAATATAATTTATAGAATGTAGAAAAGAGAAATGGCGGCGACGTCCTGGATTTCCAAATCATTTAATACCGTTTTGTTGTCGATTATTAAAATCCAGTTTTTTGGACTTTCGTTTCCGAATGTTATTTTAAATATTTGATTTATCACATAGAATAATTATATAAATGCTTTTTTACAAAATGAAAAAAAAAAAAGAAAAACAACTAAATTTTGAAGCGTAAAATTTTTTGCCTCATATTTTCATAGTGCATTGGTTAATTTCGCTCGCTTATTGAAGACCATTGTTCTCATAAAATCAGTTTGGAATAGAGAGATATGCATGATGATATGCATGATGATTCAAAGCAATCACTAGGATTTCAATTTTGATTGTACAATAAATTTTTCTGCCTTCTATTGAGGATAGAATGGATCAGTGGATTGTTGCTCAATTGAGGATGCTGAGGTTCGATTCTCCGCAGGAGTAAACCTGCGCATAAATCCGAGACTCACTTGCACCAAGGTACTCCTTGGCATATTGCCTCAATGCGACAAGCCAGTGGAGCGAGTTTAACCAGTACTGATGAGGACTCTAAAAAAAAAGGCAAATCATAAGTAATATGAGAGTTAAGAGTTCAAATTTGAATCAAAAAAACTTATAAAATTTTTTAGCTTGGAATTTAAAACAAAAAATAATGGCAAAAAAAAACGAAAATAGAATATACAAAAAATGGGCGTCCTAATTTTTGCATTAATGATCCGTTTTGTTGATAAAACGATAGTTTATCACCGTAACGGGCAGCCAACAGGCGAACAATGCGTATTTATTTTTTATGTCGTATGTTTATCCTTTTTTTGATTTTATAATTCCGACAGATTTGTCATTACTTGAATTTAAAATGCATCAAAATTAATATATATGGATAGTTAATATAAAGTTAATTATCTGATTTGATCTCATTTATTAAAAAACGAAAAATGGAAACGATATCTTACTTTATTAATTTCAATCAGCTGTTATAATACAGTATTAGTTTCCTGGACAAATATTCGGGTAGATGATTCTCAGTTTGGAGCAGCCGAAGCTGCGGTTCGATTCCTCGCAGGAGTAAACCCGTGCAAAAATCAGGGTGGTGCTGACGACTCACTTGTATTTCTATCGCTAAGGTACTCCCTAGCATATTGCGTAATGCGACAAGCCATTGAAGCGAGTTTAGCCAGTATACATATATATATAATTACCCCCTAGCAAATAAAGGAATATAAATGGGATTGTTGCTCAATTCGAAGCGCAGATAGTGAGGTTTCATTACCAGCAAGAGTAAATCTGCCCAAATGCAGATGATGCTGGCGACTCATCTGTGCTACTGTCGACAAGGTAATCCCTGGCATTTTGTCCAGTGCGACAAGCCAGCGGAGCGAGTTTAACTAGTAATGGCGAAAGTTCTTAAAAAAAAAAATCATTCATCAAATAGCTAGTGAAAAGGATTTGGAGCCATTAGGGTTAGCCGAATAAAAAATGTGTAAAAAAAATGTGAAGTGCTAGGTTGTAAGTTTTTCACATCTGTGAAAATATAAAATATCGTAATTCATTGGAATTCATCATTATTAACATAAAATTTTTCTTAATCTTTATCAATTATCAATGAGTTTTTTTTTTTTAACTGATATTAAGATTTAGTTTTCGCGCTTCCATTGAGTGGTCTGGAAATCGAACGATTGCAGTACGAAACAGGTTTGAGTGTTATAGGGGATTATAGAACGAGTGAGCATAATCCGAAATGGAAATGTACTGATTCCGTTGCTGCAGAAATAGGTGCTCAACTTGCACTTAATAAAATCGATTATACAAACCGTATATTGTCAGAATTGTCCGATCTTCAAAAACTTGAAGCGACATGCAGGTTATTATCATATAATTTTTCTCGCTATGGATAATCTATTGATGATACAGTAGGATAAAAATTTTATTGTTCGATAAATTTCGAATAATAATTTTTAGGTTATATGAAGGGAAAATAAGTACGCTAAACGAATGCCCAATGAATGATCAAGTTCATCCAAGTGCTATAATAGTTTTATTGCCTCTTATCTGCCATGATCGCTACAAAAGTAATTCGTGATTCGTGTTATTTTTTGATTGAATATTAAAATATATTTTATATCTATTTATATTTAAAAATGAAATAATATAAAATATAAATAATTGGCCTTATTATGGTACTAATATTGCTCCAATTTCATTTTTAATGGCATGAAAGATTGAATTGAATTCAGCTCATATTATTTCTCTTTAGTCTTTTTTCAAATGTAGTTTTCATTTTCAATAGTTTTAGCTTAATTCAAAATTCGACATTTTGATAATTTATCGAAATTTTAAAAATAACTTCACTATACTAAAAATTTCTAAAAGTAGTAATGGTAAGTCTTAGGTAAACCATCCTTTTCCTATAATATTTAGTTACAAAAACATTCTTATGGCCCTATTATCCCTATTATCTTAATCATCTTAAATAACTAATACTTTTCCTATAATTGATGGCTATTTTTCGACCATTTATAAAATCATATATGTTCTCTAATAATTTCCCATTACATTTAAGGATTAAATTTTTAGGTTATTTTTGTGATTTAAATTTTACTTATAGTTCTTGCAAATATGCGAGAATGTTCTTCAACTATGGAAGAGGCTATCGGTGAAAAATGTCAAAAATATTGCGCTTCTCGTTTACTCAAAGGTTTCGACGCAACAAGTCCATATTCTTGTGAATTTGCATCTTGTACTGCAAATTGTATTAATGCTCAGGTATTTATTTATTTAGAAAATTAAGATGAGTAGTATCCATGCTCTTCTTTTATTAATAATAGTAATCCTTCATAATCATTGAAATTATACGACGAATTCGACTGCCATCTTCTGACTTTAATAAACCCGTTGTTAAAACGAAAATCTGGGTGACGCTTAAGAGCCATTTAAAGCTTTGTGTAAATAAATAGCGAAGTATGAAATCATTCATCGTTCTTATTGTAAGAAAGTAATTGATTGTTCTGTAGTGAAAATAAATAATCACATTATTTTAATTTAGAAAAATATTTGATTATCTGCAATTTTAATGAATTAAAATTGTCAAGTAAAACAAAGAAAGTAACTGATGGTTATCGCTGATAAATCGCATGCTTTGCAAATAAATGGCTCTTCTGTACTTTATTTTTTGTGCATTAGCTACGGACAAATTCACTGGAATGAACACCTGTTTTTGTTATCACAAATTTAAAGATCAAAATATGTAGTAAGAGATAACATCTTGGAAGTAAAAGTCAAAAAAATAAAACAAAAAAGAAATAAAGTTGTAGTTTTTAGAAAATTTACAACTGTAGTTAGTGAATATTTCGGATCGTACTATCCATTAATTTTTATCAGAAAATTAACTGAAAATGAAGATAACAATGGATTCTTATCAATTTCTTGATATCAGTAGTCAGTCTATATAGTCTTCAACCTAAGCAATATCTTTTAGCCTAAGCAATTCAGTCTATTTAGTGTTGATTATTCTTTTTATTGATATTATAAAATCGGCAGGAAGGAGAAAACTTAATATGTATTGGATTGAAAACTGCTAGTATATATATATATATATATATATATTAAAATTATTAAATTAAAAGCAAGAAATTCAGGCAATTGAAGTTCAAGGCTTTGTTTTAGGTAAGAGAATGTGATAATTCCCGTGAAGTAAGTAATCTGTACAATGAGCTAGCTGGATGGCAGTTATTGATGGGAATGGAAAATTCATTCAATGGCGATTCAGAATTAACCTATCGTTATTTGGCATCAGCAGATTTCCCAAAATATTGTCATGATATGATTACAAGAACATGTGAGTTATTAAATTTTTTGGTAATTCAATGATTTTATTTTAGTTTTCATTTTGATAATTTGATTTTTATTAGTCACCATGAATTCATTTGAAATATCGCATGGAGAATAAATTTTAGCATAATGGATTCGATATCTGATGATTTCTTTTTTTGTAAAATTTTCAACAAAACGAAAATAAAAATTAAATTTTTAAAATGTGTATGATTTCTCAATATCTTTAGCATTAGCAAATTATTAGTTGTGGCTTTGAAGTCTTTTGGACAATTTTTAAGTTTTTTTTAAAAAAAATATTTTTCCTCGTCTTTCTGTCCCATCGAAAAGCGAAAAATCTGCGGAAAATTGACAGAATCTTCGAAAATCGTGTAATTTTAATCAGTTAATTTTCCCGATTATTTAAATTTTAATATCTATAAAAATGAAAAATCAACTTTAAAAAATCGTGAAAATAAAAATTAAAAATGCAAAAACATTAAAAAAGATTCCTTTAAATAGAATTCTGTTTCAGTGATTGCATCAAGTGGACAATCAACATTCGAACAAAAAAAGACTGGGAATACTGAAAATGAATCGCCTTGAATTTTCCTTTCTTAAACTTTATTTTACGAAAATATTTTTATTTTTGTGCACAATTTGCAAATGCACAACGAATTTATTATGTTATAGTAAGAAATAAAATTTTTTTTGAAAAAATATATCTTTATTATCCTTCATAATTCATCCACAACTTCATTAGATTACTATGGTACTATGAAGTCATTTGAGAAATTAAAATAGAGGGATGGTCGACAAAATGTTCTTTTGCTGAAATATAGTTGTATTTCAGTTGTGCGCCATACTTTAGCTGAAATTTCTATATAAAAAAAAAGAACACTTAGAATTTGTTGCAGGGGAATTCCATTTGAATGAAATGTTCGAATGTTATAGGGAACATTTATTTCCATATATTTCTCATATGTATAATAGATAATACCTTCGACACCTAAAATAGTAATATCGGTAGCGACACTACAGTTTGACGAAGCTTAAGGGGAACAAGATGGAGTGGATGGTACCGATCTGAATTTCGGTAGATTAGAAAGAGGTTTAAAAAAATTAAAGTGGATTATAGAAACAATTAAGATTATTAGGTTAGAAAATTTACTGCAGAATATTCCAGGTATTAGTAGACAAAGGATGTAAATTTTATTGTAATTATAGTAATAAAATGAAGCTGAACAATACAGTGAGAACCTTCGTACAAAATCCATTATATGCATCAGTACGCCCTTAATCCTTACCACGTTTCTTTTTCGATATGCACCGTTATGCACCGTAAGCCACTTTTTGTTATTTAATAATTTGCTGCCGTCGAGACTAAAGTAGGACTAGCTTGATTAATAAGAAAATAAGAGAATATTTGATGCGATCTGGAAGATTCTTCACGAAATATAAGTTTTAAGGATATCAGAGGGTTCCAACGCGATGAATCAATGAATGCTTCCAGAGATATGTAAAGGTAAAAAAGGGAGTTGATTCCGTTACTTTCAAATGTGGCACACGATTGGGAGGCTTGGAAACGCCTCAATCTTATAGGAGTAATGATGCCAGCTGCTAGAAGGAAATGATATAGGAAGAAAGATATTGAATAAGACGGATTTAAAAAATTTGAAAGCTCACGTGTGACACAAAAGGCTATCAGAGGGCTAAGTCAAAGCGCTACTTTGGTTTTGAGGTAGAGATAGGATTGAAGTAACCGAATTTATGGCATAGCAATTTAAAGGTATTGAGACTAATATTTCATTTTCCGACTAAAATTTGCTAAATTTTCGAATTTTAAGTAAAATTTTATTGAAAAGATAAAAAAGCAAAGAAGTACAAAACAAATTCATATATAATTTAAAATGCAGGAAAATGCATTAATAAATAATGAATTATTTCATGCAAAAAAATCTTTCACTATGTTTCCAAATTAAGGACCTTTAAATTTTAAAATTAAATACTTAAAATGAAATCCACAATCAAAGGAATATGATCTGAAGGAGTTGTTGCATTAGGCCAGGGACTTGACGTAGAATGAAGTGAATTCAATGTTGGCAGAGTCAGACGTCGATATAAATGCAATCTGCTTTCGAAAATTCTTGCCCTCATTAAATTATTGCGTCTCTGAATAGTAGAATTGAATAGTAGAGTTTTTTTACCTAATTTCATATAATCATTGATGTTTTTTATACAATGTTTCGTTCATATAAGGAAATTCATCACCACCAGCACAAGAAAATTTACTTTATTTAAATTATTTAACTAAATAATTATTATAAATAATTACTTTAATTTTAATCATTTAATTAAATAATTATTACTTGATTGATAAAACAATTATTTTAAAGTTAATGATTTAATTAAATTATAATTAAATCAAATTAGATTAAATTAAAACTAATTATCTTAATCAATCATTTTTTTTAAAGAATAAAAAAACCAACTTACATAACAATCCTTGTGCTCCACTGAGTAAAAAATAAAATCGGGATTTGATGCGTCCACAGCACTATAGGTGGATACTACATCCTATAGTTCAATTAATTTGTATTATTGGTTATTACAATTAGATTATAGAATTTACAGTCAAAAATACAGGGATCACTGGGAAATATACAGGGAAATACAGGGAAAATCGTTATGAACAATCTGAATTATAACACGACAAATAAGAATTAGTTGAAATGAAAATATATGCACATCGAATTATGGCTTCTTCATTAGTTTAATTAAACAAAAACATTAAATTTCGTCGAATATAAGATTCATATGTCATTATGCTCGTAAATCTTTCATCAAAAATAACAATAATAAAATTACATCTTGCTGAGGAACCAACGAAGCATAAGCGTCAGCCAATTTGAAAGAATGAGTTCGAAATTCATTCGAAGATTGAACCGTTTTATCTAAAAACCATTCTTTCAGTGTTTCAATTTTTAAGAAAAATGAAGTAGATTTGTGATCACCAAATATTTTTGAAAATTTTATTCTGTTTAAAATTCTATTTAAATTGAACAAAAAAATGTTCAATAGATTCTGCAATGGATAAAAGAGCATTTCATTTTTCATTTCCCCCGTTTTTTTAAAATGGAGAATGGTCAAAAATGGATTTTAAAAATGCGTATTTTTGGGCCAACTTATAGGCAGATTATAGGTAACATTAATATTATAAGTAATATTAACAAACCTATATTTTCGAAAAAGCAACAATTTTGTCCAATTTTTAGTTTTTCAGAAATGATATCATAAGAAGAATGACGACTATGTTTCGCATACTGATCAACAAGACGTGCATTACAAAATTTTGCGAGTAGTAAAGGATGCCCCAATAAAAAGTTATAAATAGGACAACCCGATGGCAAATTGAAATCTCCGCAGATAATAAGAGGACTAGGTTTGTCAGCATTCGGACCACATTCCTTAAACATAAGATAAAACATTAAAAAAATATACAAAACTGACAGCAAAATCAGACGCCTTATGATAAGACATGCAAAAAAAAATTCAATGGTTCTTATATGCGGCAAGATTGCGAATAGGAAAACAAGCAAAATCTTCCTAAAGCCTTCTCCTTCAAAAGCAAAATATTTTTTTAGAATTTTTAGATTCACTTCGTTCAATTAAACTTGATATCAAGATGACGCGATCCATTAACGGTAGATTTGTATAGGAGAATCCACAGCAACCACCTAGCACTGTATTAAACACTATATATTAATCATTAATATTATATTATTAATATTAAAAAATGAATAGCTGACTTGTTTCGAAACTTCAAATTTCCTTTTTTCACAAATTCTGTAGCAAATCTTAATTTAAATCCTAAGTCTTATTTAACATTAAATTTATGCTCAAAATCAAAAAATCAAAAAAAAAGAATTTGAAAAAAAAGTAAAAATATGAAAATTAACTGCAATTTAATTTAATACTTTTTTCCTCATTTCTCTCCCTTATCATATCATTTTTAAATAAAAATAAAAATTTTTCATTTAATTTAAAATCATCAAAAATTAAAAATCCGAATGGCTGCTGGGAACTCACCTTAACACACTCTTATCCAGAGGTAATTAAGTGATGAAAAGGTTTGATTTTCATATGAATATAAAATTTCGGTGGTACAGTCCATAAATATGTGAATTGAGCTTTAAAAAAAGGGATTCAAAGGATTGAGCATACAATAAGCTCTCGAATCATCTGCTCAAAGCCTTTTAAAAAGACTTGCCTGTTAGCTTTATGCACAAAGGCAAGATCTGGGTCGTAACGGTGTGGAAAGATTAAAACCTTAAAGATATCGAGACTCAGGCCACCTTTATCAAAATCCCATTGGCTTCAAAATAGGACCAACCACGATCCGGATTATTCAATTCTGAGAGATTTTAAGTATAGAGCCGGACCAAAGGACTTAGGTGGTGGAAAAAGGAGTGACTCTTTTTTTCAAATATGGTATCGGATCCAGCAGCTTGAAAATACCTCATATTTATATTAAGAGAATCTGCCTAACCAGCAGAGATAGTAGTTTTCAGATGACAACCACATGAAAAATAAGGTCCATTCGAAAATAAAATAAAAAGACGACATTAGCGCTTTCCTTTAAAAAACTCTCGCTGAATAATTAAATAAGTATATTTTCAATCTTTTAACGAACCTTATCCAAAGTTGCTAAAAGAATTACCAACTGAGCAAATTTAACATCACCCCGTTTCATATTAAAAAGCAGATGTGTATTAGCAATACAGAATTCAGCTCCGCTCTGCTTGTCTTTTAGTCGCATTATTTGCCCTTAAAGAAAAATATTGAACTAAGAAGAAGAAGAATATAAGAGATAAAATATAAAGCGATAAACATAATAAATATTAAATATACACTATTTTTAAATGATATTTTTTAAAATTCATTGAGAAATTATAATAAAAGAAATCTACTCAATATTGCATTGTTACTTTATTTTGTTACTTTTATTTAAAAAAAAAAGTATTCATTTATTAAAACATACTACGAACATTATTACGACAAATCACTAAATTAGTATTCATAACAAGATAAATATGCATACCAACATTGTGCCTATTTAAAACACAATTCTCATCCAGATAATATTCAATAGGTATGTATTTCAAACAATCAAATTTCGACCTATAAAATATAGCACATCCATCAATAAAAGATCCCGTTTTTTGTTTAAACTCGCAAAAATAACCGGCTAAAAACTTCAAAATTAAAAAGAAATATTTCTAGAAAAAAATTTTTAAAAAATCGAATTCAGATAGAAAATTTCGAAAATATCAATATAGAATTTTTATCCGACTTTCTTTTAGAAAAATAAATAAAAAAAATTATTATATGACGCAAGGAAAAAGAAAACCATCAATGAGTAAGGGTTTGTAAAAGCTATCGAAATGATCAAATTGAACTTCCTGCAAACATATTACATCAGCATTAATCCTAAGCAATTCATAAGCAAGCAAAGATGATCGATAAGACCATTGTAATGCATACGCACTGGCATTTTTGCTGAAAGCAAAATGGCTCACATAATTCAACGACGAGTATCATTCTGAACAAATTTAACTAACAACCTTAAATGTGTGTACATGACTTCATGTTGCATGGCTGTATTTTGACATAAAACATTATAACTACATACTCGTATATTAATCCCTTCATTTGGCGGCCGTGACTAAATAAATCGATTAAGACTGGTAATTATTATAATTATAATTTTAAAATAAAATTAATTAGGAATTAAATATTAATTTGGTAAAGACAAACCACAAAAAGTATACAAATCAAAGATACCTCAATCATCTCCCACATTCTTGGAATATTTCCGTGTAAAATAGGGCTAATCGAATAGCCAGAATCTTCGCCTTCAGTTGCTTTAAAAAATCTTTCAGAAAAGAACAGTTTTATAAAAGAGATGAAAAGCAACCCTCATAGACCAATAACTAAAAAAAGGAAGAAAAAAAATAAAAATTTAAAATATCACTACGATTAAATAATTTTGAATATGCGAAAGAATCGCCAATCGAGACGTTACACCTCTCCCATGCAATATAGGAATGACCAGATGAATGATAAGTTTTGACTGCTAACCGCATGTTCACACTTGAAATGACTGCTTTCAGCACCTGAAAAAATGCCATGAAATGGTGTAGAAAAATCAGAAAAAAATTTCTGCTATATATCAGGTGGCATTCTATTATACTTACACCACATTTACAATAACTATTTTAAAAGATTTAACAACATATCTTTTTCGAACAGCGTGAAATATGAAACAAGGACGAGGACAATAAAATAAAGTATGAGAGGCAAACTCGTAGACCAAATACTAAACAAGTAGTTCTCGTTCCTACTGGTTAGACTCACCCCGCTGGCTTCTCGCACTAGACAAATATGCTAGAGGAGCCCTTTGACGATGGTAGTACAAGTAAGTCGCCAGCATCACTCGAATTTTTGGATAGGTTCATTCCTCTAATGATTAGAGCCTCGAATTTCCGAATTCAGCACACTAAGCCATTCAATGCCCCATAACCAGCGGCATAAATTGGTAATACAAATCTTTTATTCATAAAGTTCCTTTGAAAATTAAAAATGCGACCTGGGAAAATTTTAAGAAACGATACATTTCATATGCCTCGCCGATCGTCTGCATTCAAGTATTTCAAAAATTTAGCGCTTCTTTTTCCTCGTTCATCACTAAAAATTGAAAATATTATTTTATTAATTAACAAATAAAAAAAAAGCGTATTCGAATGAAAATCAAATAAATCAGTGCCATAAATATTGCGTATCACTAGTAAGCAACTCAGTACTAAAAAACTAATTTAAAGATAATCATGAATCGCATTAGATTGACTAATTAAAACCCGGAGACTTTAGAATAGGCGTCATCAATACGGCTTCTATGGCCAATATTTTCAGCCTAAAGCAATTCTCGGCGAATTTATGCGAGTAATATAGCCGAATAAGCCGAAAAATATAGTTTATAACTCTTATATAGTTTAATATAGTTTATAACTCTTAGATGAAAAATTTTTGCATTACGCGGTTCTCATAGATTTCTATTTTTAATAGCCCATGAGAAATCGTGAAAAAAATTCTGACCACTGATAACCAATGATCTAAGCCATTTAGCACGATTAGATAATTCGTTCTTATAATTCGTCGAATCTTCTTCGTTTGCAAAATAAATTGATCTATAATTCATACCTGAAGTCCTCAATCATTTTGGACCTTTTATTCAGCAGAATGCAACAGCATAGATCGTCTTTCTCCTAACAGCATACAACGTTATTGGTTTGGTTGGTTCCATTCATTACTACGGAGAGACGTTAAGTGATTTGGCTTTACTGATTTTTAAATATATTTAACTAAACGAGTGAGCCTGGATTAAATAAAAACAAGGCATTTACTGGATAATCATTCTCTATACTGCTGATAAGTGATATGATAAAAGATCTGACGCCTGTCCTTCGATCCTCGATGGAACAAATGACCGCCCAACAATTCACCAAAAATTTTAAATTTTCATCATTTCTAACTGCAAATTAGTAAAAATTAATAGTAGTTAAACTGATTTTTAGTAATTTCAATATTTTCAAATCTCCATTAGCAGTTATTTTGATGGCAAGAATTCTTTGATGTTTAGTGGTACTAATTATTGCAGTTGGTACTTGCAATTTGATCATTTGTTCAGTTGTTCACTATTTTAGCCGTTATCTTTGGTTATCGTTCTTGGCAGTGTCAGAGCTGAAGCCTAGGCCACCTAATTGAAATCAGAAAATCTTTCTTGGAAAACATTCCCAACATTCAATAAAGAATTCTATTTAAATGAGCTGAACTAATATTGAAATGTTCACTCGTCATTTATTCTTTATTACTAATAAAAAATTTTAATGTCTCTGAGGAGAAAAATAATTTCCTAATCATTTAGAAGACGATAAACAGTCTTTGGGCTGAACTCATCAAATGTTGTTTGTTCATCGTTCTTAATAATTTGCCCTTGAGGGACTAAAAGAAACTGGTAAAAACTACTAGGCTTAGGCTTAGACCCTATAAGCCTAAGCCTAAGCTGAAAATTACAATTCCCAATATTAATGAGTTGAACTTATATTTAAACTTATATTTTAATATTTAACTGTTTAGTCGTTGTTTATGGACTCTAATTTGCAGAAGAGAAGAGTGATTGCGATCTACACAGTGATACAATTTTCAGGACACTAATAAATTCATTATTTTCAAACAGTTAAAGATAAAGAATTCGATAAAAATTGAAAGAAATTTGTTTCAAAACTTTCACCATTTAGTTACCAAAGCTAAGCGAATGACATCTTTTTTTGGCGAGGCATAAGTATTTTATTTTTATTTTGAATATTTTTATTCTTATTGATATTCTTATCAGTTCTCTAATTTCTCAGTTAAATGAAATTTTTTTCGGCATTTTATATTTTTGGTCAACAAAACACGAAAAATTCTATGAATAGATTATCTGAACATACATGTATATGTAATAATAATAATAATGATAGTAATAATATTAATAATATAATAAATATAACTATTTAAATGTTAGCCAAATGAAGCATCAGAATGGTCACTCAATAAAAGAGTGGCCCATTAAGTAGGCTTGTAATTGGTCAGTCATTTGGAATCTAAATTGAGATAATTTAATGATATTTATAGGGGAAAGAAATTATTTGCGTGTTATTTTAAAATTATATAATGATAAATTTATTGATAAAAAATATTTTTGAAAATATTTTAAACGATTCTCAATGAAAAGAATTTTTTTTGGTTAAATACTACTTTGCAATTAAAATTAATTCGATATATTAATTTGTTTGTAAAAAAAAAAAATTTATAATTATTTTGTAATTATTTCTAAAAGTGATCATAATTGCTAATTTGGCTCATTTCATTTATTTGCTGGATTAGAAAAATTTCGCGAGGAAAGCAGCTCGTATTTTTGTTCTGCTTACTTCTGCTTAAAATAGAATCCTAGCATGGACATTCCGAAATGACAGCAACAATTTCGCTAAGCCATATTTCCTCATTTCTTGAACACATCTTAGATTCGCCGAAAGTAAAAAATAAATTACTATTCAAAAAAAACTCGATTAATCAATCTAGCAATTTAGTTAATTCGCATGTAACAAATTATTTTATTTTATTAAGATTTATTCAACCATATAATAATTTTTATAAGTCATTTTCATTTTTTTTTTTTATAAAATTAGAAATTTTTTAAAAAAATATTTTATTTTTTTTCTTACTATTTATTATAAAAATTTTTTCAAAAAATAATTTTATAACAAAGAAATAATTATGGAAAAATTTTTTTAAAGAAAATCTTAAAGTCTTAATTTGTTTCTATTTTCTGAGATAGCTCATTAAAAAGAAAAAGGAGCATTGCTTCGGGGGGTCAAGTAGTACTTAAAATTTACATAATCAAGACCGCCCTATCCTTTCCGATATTTTTATCACGCCCTAAAGCCGAAAATTTTCGAATTTATTTATTTCCTTAACACAAACCATTAACATTTCCATTTCCTATCATAGCAAGTTAAATTCAATTTTTTTTTTAATATTTATTTACCTTTGTTTTTTTTTTTAAAGATATAATATTCATTTTAAAATAGCACGCAATATTTTTAGTTTAGCTGATTCGATGACTATAAAAATGAGAACACTTCACCAGGCGGTCATTTAGCAATAGAGATGCAAATGGATCTCTAGCAGCCATCCAGATTTCATTTTCATTAACAGGTTTAATATTCCTTAATATTGGGGAGTAGAGTGGCTCAGTGGGTTGTTGCTCGATTTAAAGCGTCGATGCTGAGGTTTGTTTCTGCTTTTCGCAAGAGTAAACCTGTCCAAAAATCCAAGTGATGCTGGCGACTCACCTGTGCTTCTATCGCCAAGGGACTCTCTCGCATTTTTATACGACAAGACAGCGGGGCGAGTCTAACCAATAATGGTGAAAGCTCATAAAAAGAAAGAAAATAAAAAATTTGGGACAGGAATCAACGCCATATTGCTTGGGTCCAGTCGAGAGGCTAGAGCATGTTTCTTTAAAGTTAACAATTAGCCTTATTTCTACACCTTAAATTGTCTTCTTACAAAAACGATATGCTAAATCGTCACATTTTCTTCATCTTCAACTTCACTGTACGTTCAATTGCTTCGGACAACAACTGATTTTTCCAAGAAATTTAATCTTATCATTATTGTCAATGTTATTTTATAACAGATTATTGATAACAATAATCGTAAATGAAATTAAAGTTTTAGGTGAATTCGCATTTTGAAAAATGCTTCTAAATGGTTTTTCACGTGAAATATTTTTATTAACGTTCCTTTCTTACACGTGTAAAATATCCCTAAAAATAATTCTTTTACTGAAAAATTTTTCAATTCTCGAAATCCTTTAACATCCTTTAATATTAAAGGCAACAGATTTTTGCGTAAAATTTGCAAATTTTGAATTTGGTGATATTATTGAAATTCTAACCGAAAATAAATTTTCATAAATAGCCAAGGCAGAAATCGCCATAAAATTTGTTCACATAATTGGCACAAAATTGAAATTTATATGATTTTTGAATGAATTTTCAAAAAAAATTAAACATTTTAAATTTTTACGAAATTGAAATTTATATGATTTTTGAATGAATTTTTAGTGATCCTTAAAATAAATGCTCAAAATTTACATTTATTTTATTTCAAATTTTACATATATATATAAATAAAAAATATATATTTTATATGGATAAATATGAGTGAAGGATGCCAAAATTGATGTATCGTTTACAATGTTTTGATTAATAGTAGTTAAGTTGTCATTACTTTATAATAATTTTCTAATATTTGTTAAGCCAATCAAAAATGGAAATAATTTTTATTTCTATTTCCTTGATTGATAATTGATATGTCAATGATATTGACATTGATATAAAAATATTTCCGAAAAAATTATTTATTATTATTTATAAATAAATTCAATTAATTATAATATAAATCTGCAGTGAAAAAAAAAGGCAAATGAAAAATTCAATAATCAAAAAAATTATTTATATAAAAATTCATGCTAAAATGCAATAAAATTATCGAAAAAATTACGTTTAAATACGACAAAATTATAGAAAAATTTTTAGCATTTAAAAAATGTATGAAAATTATTGAAAAAAAAAGAAGAATTGATGTTTTAAATTTTTAAAAATTATGGAAATTGAAAGGAAATCAAAATGGAATTTTATTTATTCTTCTTTAATAATAATGCCAATAGCATTTATTGTTCCTTCATAAACATCGATTTCGAGATGCGATATTTATCATTCAATCTTTCAATTTTATTTAACTGATCTTTTAGAATTTTGTCGTTTTACTATTTATAGATAAATTATTTAAAATTTCAAATAATTTATTAAATGAATAGAATAAAAACATTATTAATTAAAAAATTAAAAAAATTAAATTAATTATAAATTAAAAAATATAAAAAAAAAATATTAAAAAAATTCAATTTTTTTGTATTTTTAAAAAATATTTTATTTTTTAAAGAATGGCAAAAAATGGATAGAAAAAAAGCTTAATTTTTATTTTTCATAGAGCGAAAAAAATTATAATAATAATTTAAAGCTAAAATAGGAATTTTGCAAATAGTATTGAAATGGTACCAATTGTACCAATTTCACTATTAAAACATTCATAATATTCAAATTAATGTTCAATTAATTTTTCTAAGTGCTTATTATCATCGAAAATTGGTTTTTAATATTAATATGAATATAATTTATTCATTGGTTCTAACCAACCTATTCGCATTTTCTTCTCTTCGTCAATTATTTAATAGGAAATATTTAAGAAAGTTTCATAAAAATATATGGATTTTTAGTTTAAAAGATAAAAATCAAATTTTTTTCAATATTTCAATATTTCAATAAAATATTCAATTCTAATCTTTCTACTTATAGAATGTAGAATCTTCGAAGAGAAAAAGCGGATTTATGGGGGATTTTAGAAGTACCATTTATTCTTTGCAAATTTTTGGTCAATCCTGTTTTCTTTTTTTAAAAAATATTTTTAAGGTTTTTTTTTAGTAGAAGATAATTTTCTAAAAAAAGAAAACAATTTGCAGCACTTTTAGAAACGAATTTAATCGAAAATTGTTTATTTCTAATAAAGTTTGAATTCATTTTTTTTATCAATTTACTTGTTGTCGTTTTAAATTTATTTCTTTTTTTTCTATTATAATTAAAACGAACTGATAAGGGGCAAAATATTTGTATTACTTTTCGATAATGTTAAAATCATTATCATAGGTTTGATTCTTGTCCGTTGATGGAAATAAACCTGTTAAATTTAATCATTTAATCATTACAGAGGAAGATAAAATTTGCATTTCTAATAGATCTGGTAAAAATGATTTATAATAAAATAATGAAAGGACAGAAGACTTATGGTAAAAACTATTAAAACTGAGGCCAAATGACCATACAATATCAAGAAAGGTTAAAGGTTAAGCGGATTAATGAGAAATTTTATAATTAATGATATATATTAGCATATTTTTTCTTTCATCAATAACTTACATATCTAATTAATTAAATCTTTGTTTTATGGTTATAAATTTTTTAACGCAAAAAAATTCATGCTAATTATATATTATTTTACAATTAATATGTCAAAGGTTATAGGCTATGTTTTCTACTTTCTATTTTTTTCTAAAATTTCAAAATAATTAAATTACAGATCTATTAAATGAATGGAATTTTATTGGTATTAAGAATGTAATGAAGTTTGCCAAAAAATGTCTATTTTCTTCATTCTTATTTTATTACAAAATTTTATCATTGTAAATATTGAAGCAATCGCAAAGTTTGAAGTAAATCTTAAAATTTTCTTTTAACATTTCATGAATTTATATATAAATATAAATATTTATAATTGAGAATAAATTGTTATTGTTTTCAGTCAAAATTTTCGTAAAATTTTTAAAATTCCTTGCAAAAAAAATATACAAAATAATAAATAATAAAATATATAAAATGATAAAAATATGAAAAATAATAACAAAAAAAACTCTCAATAATAATAAATTTAATAAATTTTTCTTTTTAAACAATTTTATCACTATTTAATTAGTTCAACCAGGTCTTCTTTGTTTAACCAGGTTTCCCTTCTACATTTATCATTTGCTATCACTTGTTAATTTCAATTTGTTTAACTATTCGAACTACAATTTTATACAATCCTTACAGTAACTTTTGAAATGATCGTACATTTATTTGGATGAAAATTTTCATCGTCCTTTTATTTTAGCTTTTTTTAACGACTGGAAGAAAGAAATATTCTTAATGATAGAGTATAATTAGGTAAAATGGCTGTTGCTCTCGTTTTCGAGCATCGATGCAGATTCCCAGCAGGAGTATGCCTATCTTAATTCGGGCTGCCAACATTCCTCTATAAATTTCTATCGCCAAGTGTCTCCTTGAAAAAATTTGCCTAATCCGACAAGCCAGCTAGTACTATCTACCAGAAATAAAGAATATTGTTTGAGAAAAAAATTATAATTATTGAAAATTTTTTAAAAAAAATTATAGGTTGAGAATTTTTCGTATCCTTTCATGAAATTTTTACTTAAATTATTGTTATTTTATTATTATTATATTTATTATTATTTTCACTTCAACACTTTTATTATTTTATTAAATTAGCTGTTTTTTTCTTATCGATTTAAAAAAGATTTAAATTGCTATTTAAACGATTTTAACGAAAATATGAGCAAAAATGGGAAAAACCGAGACGATATTCCCATGGAATGCTTTCAGTTTTTCTTTAATTAATCATGCGATTCGATTAATTTATTATTACATTATTTATTTACAATTATTATTATTATAATTCTTATAAAATAAAGCTTTTTTATTTATTAAATGAGGAGGGATTCAATTCATTTTATTTTATGAACATTTCTTTATTAATAAAATTTATGAAACATCATAAAATCATCATTTTTTAAATTAGCTCTTGTGCAGAATGAAAATTAGCTCCTCTTCTTTAAATTAAATTAAACAGTAAATAACTAATTGATAATTTGTTATATAAATAATATTTATTATTACTGCATTAAATTATATAAATAATGATACTATTATAGGTATTTATTTATTATTATTACTATTATTATCATTATTATTTGTTATTTTTATTATTACAGGTAAATTATTATTATTATTATAGGCAACATTTATTATTATTAATTATTATTATTATTAGTATTACTATTACAGGTAACATCGACATCAATGAATTCAATTGTAATTCGTATGATTGGCATAAATGATATTAATTATTTTAATATGTTCATTGAAATTTATGATTTAGACAGACAAATAAATTTTAGACAAACGCAGTTTATATCAAAAAATTATGATCAGGTAGATCATTTATATTCGGATTTTTTTTTCATTTTTTATCATATGAAATCAGATTTTGAATTTTTAATTTGAAATATTATCTCGACTCGTATTTTTGTGCAGAATGAAAATTTACCACAAAATTTTACGATAACTTCCATTGCTTGTTTACTTAATATCCGTTAAGAAAGAGATTGATTGGCTAAATGAGATCTATTTCGAAGTTCCATTCCCCACAGGAGTAGACCGCTTTCTCGACTTGTATTTCTATCGCACAAGTGACTCCATGGTAAAATTCGTCCAGTTTAATAAAGATTAATAAACTAAACCAGAAATTTCGATGTAAAATAAACAATATCTACTAACAAAAATGATTAGCATTACCAATAAATCTTTTACTAAATTTTGTTTAAAATTTTTTATTAAACCTTTTTATCAAATTGTATTTTTTTTTACGAGTTTTTCAAATTATTTAAATATGTCTACCAAGGGGGAGAGGGGTGGTTCACTGGGTTGTTGCTCAATTCCAAGCGCTGATTTTGAAATTCTACTAAACGCAGGAATAAACATGTCCAAAAATCCGGATGATTCAATTGTACTTCTATCGCTAAGGGACTCCTTGGCATATTTGTCTTGTACGCAAGCCTGCGGAGCGAAACTAATTAGTAATGGTGATGGTTTTTTTAAAAAAAATATCTATACATCTACAAATATTTAGCTATTTTCATTTGATGGTTTAACACCTGGAACGTGGTATGCGATGCGAATATTATACAATGTTTTTCATCTGAATAATTCATCGCAAGATTTATCGACAAAACAGGTTCATTTCAAATAGTTTAATGCTTAATTTTGCAATTTAGAAAAATCGTCGATTGTTAAAATATTCGCATTCTGCTATGGTATAAATTAGAGTTCCTGGTAATACTTCTATCACCAAAGGATTCCCTGGCTAGTGCGATAAGGCAGAGGAGTGATTCTAACCAGCAATGCTAAGGGCTCTTAAAAAAAAAGAAAAATATAGTTATATTAAAATTTTTCCGAAATAAAAGTCTACTGGAAAGCAATAAACAAATTATTAAAAGAGGTCATATGAACCATGTTAATCTTAATGATAATCACTAACAAATGATAAGTACTTTATCAAATATTTTAGCAAAATTAATGAAATATTTTAAAGGATATAATAGTACAAACAAAAAACAATTCCAAAATCAATCAGTCGATCATTTTTGATCAAATTGTTTTTATAAATAATTTTACGTCAAATGATGATCAGCTTTCAATTTCGGTGAAAACTATTTTTGAGAAATATGATAAGGTAAGATGAAATTTTAATTAAATTATAGGTGATCGAGTAGCTCATATCAAATACTGTTTGAACTAAGTGCGAGCCGTATGGATTTGATTTTAGTTCCTTTTCAAGAGCCAGGCTTAAAAATAAAATACATATGGCTAATAATATCTCAATATCTATATTTTTGAAATAACCTTAACGATACACCAAACCGTAGTAGCAAGTAGAAGAGGAAATTAGAAATAATGGACGTAGTAGAAGAAGAAGGATCAAATCCTAATAAAATATATATATATTGTAGTTCAATAATTTTTGACCTGCAAATTTTTGACCCACTAGAGATAAATCATAAAAGTGATTCGGTTCCAAGATTTTGGTATCAAAATACGAGAAATAATAGGTTTGCACAAAAGAAATGGATGAAATTAAGAGCAATGAATGTTGTTTTAGTTCATTGTTAAACAATATTCGCTGATAAAATTAAATAAAATTTTGAAAAATTTATTTTTTATTGATAATGAAGGTCAGAAAAAGGTCAGAAAAATTACTTTTATGGAAAATCTGAATGAATAAATAGATTAATTACAAAACTTTCATGCAGATCGAAAAATTTCCATAATGGTTAAGAACTTTAGTCTTAGCAATACAATTGCCTGAGTAGGTTGTTGTTCTCATTTTGCAATGCCGATAACGGAGTTCTAGCAGGAATAAATCCGTTTTCTAAAAATCCGGATAGACCTGGCAAACCTATCCATCTATCATCTAATTACCTTATGACAAAATTTTTCTAGTCCCAATAAGCCAGTAGAGCGAGCCTAACCAGAAATGGTGAGTGCTCTTCAAAAAGAAAGAAAAAATTATCACAATTGTATCTGCAGTTAGCGTGCCAGAATCTAACCAACGTTTGATAAAAATTATCAGCTGAAAAAAAATTTTTTTATCAATTGTTTTGTGAAAAAATTGTTTGAATATTTTTTTCATTAATCTATTAATATTAAATTTCGAGTGAGTAAAATTAATTAATTAATTCTTAATTTGATACTCCAATAGATGGTGTTTTTCGCTCGATTCTATCAAATCTATTTCAAATTAATAAAAATTAATTAACGAAAATGATAAAATGATGAAATGGTTTAGCAAAATAGGTTTTAGTTTATTGCATTTTTTATTCGCAATTTTTTAGTTTATTCTAATGTCGTTTAACTCACAATAAACTACGACAATTTTTTTCACTATAAAAGAGTTTTTTTCTTCAATAATCGGAAATATTCAAAAATTCATATTATATTATATCGTTGCAATAAATATGATTTATGAAATTAATACTTTTATTAGATAAAAAAAATTATGGTGAATTTTGTAAAAATAAGAAATAAAAAAGTCGTCTGAGCAGTTTTTTTTTACCCTATAAGATGGCGAATAAAAACGAAAAATTCTTTTTAAATCTTAGACGAAACATGGAAAATATTTTTTTTCGTTAATATGATAAAAATAAATATTAATTGCGATAAAAACAAGGAACCTTTATCATTCTAAGGCAAAACTCTTCCTTAGAAGTCTTTCATTTCGGCAAGAAGGAATGAATGAATGAATGCTTCTCCTCATTCTTGCTAAGCGCTTTAGTTCTAATTTCATGGCCATGCATTCCATGCAAAACTTTCATTAGAAGAGAAAATAGTTGATAAATATATTTATTTACTTACTTCGATAGCCGCTAACTTTAATACAATGATCGGCAGGAAATAAACCTTTCCGTTGTTTTTTAAATGCCCAACAAGGATATTGATAATTAGCTAAACCTAAGCCATAAACAGTTTTTTGTTTTAGTGAATTTATTGATGAACTGAAATGTATTAAACGTCACAAAGAAGTATAGGGATTTTACTCCTTATATACATGAGGATTTATTTTCTGGTAAATATTTTTAACCGTAGTTAACAGCCAGTTGAGCGAGACCAAATAGAAATAGAAATAAGCACTTACTTATTATTGCCAGAGCGTTATGTTATCACAGTCGCCTTCGCTGGTTAGGGCACATTCAGAGGTGTCGATGCATATTTCGTTATTTGTTAAACCGTGTGATGGCTGGCGTCAAAAGCGAGCCCATCAAGATCTGGACTGATATGGTGAAAAAAGATTTTGAACGTATAGATGGACCAGCAATATATGGACTTAAACGATGGAAAAGGGAATGGCTTCAGTTACTGACGACCATAGCGTCAGACCGGGCCGCTCGGAAGCGTCTTACTCTTTTGGACATTGGAGCCAGCCTAACCAGTAATGGTGAGAGTTGTTAGAAGAAGAAGAGACTTACTTTTGTCGTTTTCTGTTTATTAACACCCACAATATTTCCTATTTTCCTTATATTATCCTAATACTATCGTAATGCCTTAGATTGTTCTTTGACAAGTTCCTATTCTTTGCGATCCAAATTCTCCCTAACCTTCTTCTGTCTTTATATTTAATAAATTGTAAAACACCTTAAATTTTACCTTTGTTAGGTTAAGCTCGTCCAACTGTACTGTGGTTCACTGCCAAACGCCGTTTCGATAATTTTGCTACATTTCGCTAATACTCTCTAATAACTCGTTGATTACCAGGCATTTCGGCGCGCTATATTATTATCCCCTAAAATTTGCCTCATTTTTTAAAAAGACCAAATATCATCAAAATATCTCGTTGATATACAATTCGTCGTGTACACCTTTATCACAATCCACTAGCAATGTAATTTTGAATTTTTGGTTTTACTGTTTTAACTTAGTTGTACCCTACTGTAGCACCTTAATACCACTTAGCTCCATTTTCCTTTAAGGCTTCACCAAATTTCGGAGCGCACTTTTATTGCGCTCCTATTATAAATTATAAGATTGTATAATATAAGAAAGGACAGCAAAGATATCGAAAGGAATATGAGATTTAAACAAAATAGTTCGAAGTGGTATTAGGAAAATATAGCGAATTTTGAGATATTTAGAGGTATTTCAGGACTTTATAAGAGTACATTTTAAAGCTGATTCTGCTTTTTGCTTTCTCTTTAAGAAAAAAGCATTATTTCTCAAGCTCAAAATAATTTCGCGAATGAGCAAGAACAACCAATCACTTTATAAAATGAACATTAATGGAAAACAAATTATACTCAAATTGATAAAACATAAAAGAAAAGTTAAGCTTGAATTAACTCATTATTTCAAGTCATAATCTATAACGTTTTGTACAACGATATTTTTTAAATTTAATAGCAAGTTATAATTTCTAGTTTAACTAGATTTATTGTGGCCTAAGGCATCAAGAGGAAATATGGCTAAGAGGGTTCTTGCTCAATTCGGGGTGCCAGTGCTGAGATTCTACTCCACAGCAGGAATAAACTTGCTAAAAAATCCGAGTGATGCTAGCAGTTTACCTGAATTTCTATTGGCAAGGTACTATTTGTACTGTACGACAAGCCAGCGGAGCGAGTCTAACCAGCAGTGGTAAGGACTCTTTAAAAAAAATTGTATGTAAAGTAAGAAGTATGAATGCAGAAAATAGATGCTAGCAACCACCCGAATTTGGTTGTGATTTTATTTGAAATAGTAGGAATCAAATCTTTGCTAATTGCACTCAGCCTAAATACAATAAATAGCCCCAGTGCAGATAATCTCGAGAATACCGCCAACTATAGAGCCTAGAAAATTTTTGATGTAAATTTTCATAATTTTTTTTTTCTCTTTAAAATTTTCAGATCTCAACTGTAATAGTGCCAGAATTGCATTGTTCGCATATGGTACTTCAGCCAGCAGCTCAGTTAATAATGAATAATACACAAATTCATTTTAATTTTAATAATTTTAATAAAAATGATAATTTAGAAAGCTTAAATTGTACATATTTGTGTTTATTCCCTTATTTACGACTAATTATAAACAATAAGACAAAAACATTTAAAGCACGGGAATTTTGTAATAATTTACATCAAATTTATTTTAATAATTCATGTATTTATTATTTTTATAATTATTTTATTTTTCTATTTATAAATCTTTTTTTTATTGTTGCTAAATATTAATGAAATTTATTGCTTGTGAATTATCTGATCTGCAGGTAGAAACAATCAGGAAACGTTCAAGAAAAAAAAAACGTTGAAAAGGAATTAAATGATAGTAAGAAATTGGAGGCCAATAAAGAAAATTTCTTCTCGTGGAGAAATGACATAACTATGATATGAGAAAAGGAAAAAGTGTGCAAAGCTTTTGTTCATGGATTAAATTATTGGCCAAGAGATAGGATAATGAAGGGAGAACGAAGAAAAAAGACAGATGAGGAAGATAATTTTAATGATAATGAAGAGAGAATGACGGGAAATGAAAATGAAGGAGGAAGAGGAAAAATATTGTTTGCATCTTACATGAAGATGTATGGTTTTGGATCAGTAACTCATGAGTACTCGAATTTCCAGCCATCTTTAAAAAACATCTATTGTTTCACTTTTTTCCCCTTGTTTCCACATTAAACTTTTATCAATGTTTGACGTGTTGTAATGATAACATATAACACATATTATTTTGAAACAAATTAGTCATGGAAAATGTGCATTATTATTTAAATTATTAACTTCAAGTAATCAAGATAAATATTTAAAATATCATCAAATCTTTTTGCAAGTAAATGATTTATGCTCACCAGTTCAGATTCGACTCGTTCTATAAAGGAATCACTTAAAGATAGAAATACAAATGGGTCGTCAATATCAACCAACTTTTTTTTGTTGCACATGCGTTTTTTCCTAAGGAGAGGATGAGTGAGGGGTATGGAACAGAAACCGTATTCTTGCCTCTCAGTGCGATAATTTGAACCGCTACCCACTCGGTTATCCTACCCTACTCTTCTAATTATAAGTACTATTTGTAAAAAAAAAAGATTATCGAAAGTTTTCAGAAAATTTTCGTATAATTGAATGATAAGGTTCGTTTTATTTGTTAATTTTTATAGAACGAATGTGTAAAATATTTTAAAAATATCTTAAAAACGAAATTTATGACTCAATTTTCGATGAATTGACATTTTTAAAAATTTGCAATAAAAATTTTATTTTTAAAAATTTTTCCTGATTATAATTAATAAAAATTGATAATGAATCAATCATTTTATGTTTCGTAACGATTGAACTTTGAAGTTTTACAATAAAAGAATGGGCATAAACGATTTGATTATGAAAATTCCCGATAATTCACATTTATAGCACTTTTTATTTATTATTTATTTATATTTTTTATAATATTTATATTATATTAATATTGCTAACATTATTTATATAATATGTATATTATATTTATTTATTTACAATATTTATATTATTAATATTATTTATATAATATTTATATTATATTTATTTATATTTTTTATCGTTTTTCGATAAATATTTTTGATAGGTTTGCTGTTAAGCAGTTTTCTTCGATTTTATTTATTTATTTATTTTATTTATTTATTTTTTTATAGCTTTCTTTTTTCTTTTATTTTTGCTTTATCCGAAAATATTTTGAGAAATGAAAACTGGTATAGCTCAATGATTTGTTACCCTTGAAACTACCTATGCTACAGTTCTATACTCGTCAAGAAATTTTATCTTTTTGAATAGTGTTAGCAATTGACTCGACTATTCACTTCTAATGCCAAGTGATAATTTCATTACTTGCTAAACCGTGTGATGGATGGCGTCAAAAGCGAGGTGGACCAGTCAACACCTGGACTAATACGGTCAGGAAAGATTTTGCACGTATAGGTGGACCAGCAATATATGGACTTAGACAATGGAAAAAGGAATGTGTTTCAGTTACTGTCGACGATGGCACCTTGTAGCCGTTGGAGCCACCCTAACCAGCAATGGTGAGAACTGTTAGAAGAAGAAGAAGAATGCCAAGTGATAAAATCAGCCTAGTCCTAATCCAATAAACCAGCGTAGCGAATCTAAGCATAAATGATTTTAGCATTAAATCCTTTAAGGCTGATTTCGAAGTATTTACCTCACTTATTCCGTGTGAATAAAGAGATATTAAATTATTTCGATGAATTTTGCTAAAATTGAATAAAATTTTCGAAATTCTTGGAAATTTTTGAATCACTTTTCTTATATGGTTTGATGGTTTATTTTAATTTTTAGAAGTTAAACGAACATTATTTAAAGAAATCATCTAAAATCCCATAAATAATATCATTATTCAACTAAAATTTCCAGACACTATAAATAAAAATAAAAAAAAAGAATTGTTCATTTCACATTCCCTCAAATTTCGATTTTACAAACTAAAAAGAAGAATTTATAAAAAAGATTTCGAATAAAAATTTATAAGATTTGCCAATATCACAAACTGGGGGGATAGAATGGCTCAGTGGGTCGTTGCTCGATTGGGAGAGCCGATGCTGAGGTTCGATTCCCCGCAGAAGTAAATCTGCACAAAAATCCGAGACTCACCTGTACTTTTATCACCAAAGAGGACTCCCTAACATATTGCTCAATGTAACAAGCCAGTGGAGCGAGTTTAATTAGTAGTGGTGAGGACTCTTGAAAAAAAAAAATCATTATTTAATTGATATAAAAAAAAAAGCCAATGCAATGAAGTTTATCAGTCGTTTATTTTGTTTCAAAAATTAAAAAATCATTGTTATTTCGATTTTTTTATATTTTCAATGTCGATCATTTTCATATTTTTAAAACAGCACTTTTGCATTCGATTTTTCATTTTTTTTTTTTCATTCATAAATGAAAATTTTATTCCTTCTTTTAATCAATTTTATCATTTATTTCATATCACTTTTTCGTTTAACATTTCTGATTCGCTTGCTTTTCAAAAAAAGACAAATTTTGCCAGGGAAACATTTGGCTAAAATATAAATGCATTGCCGATAGCACCGAGAATTTTTGAAATACAAATATACTCCGTCGAGAGTCAAACCACAGCATTTGCGTTCCAAAATGAGAGCAAAATCTCGCAGATCTAAAAAAAAATTCAAGTTTACGCATAAATTTAAAGTTTATATCGTAACATTCACTAGCATTGCTATTTATTATTATCACAGAGTATTTTATCAGTAATTGTTCAATCTTATCAATCATTTCATAAAAGCAATATTCATGGTTTTCCTTTTTTTTAAAAAATTACCATTAAATTCTTTTTCTGTATTCCGTTCTCTAATGGGGGCGAATTTATAAAGCGAAATTAATGAGATATTTTTCCCAAAAAATTTCCCAACTATTGCTTGTAGGTTCACTTTTTTTTACCCCTCACCCTCTTTAATTTTATTCAAAACAGTGCGGGGTGCGGGGCAGGGGGTGGTGGATGGAGGTGGGGAGGAGGGAGGGAGTCGGGTAAGGGAGAATTTCAATTCCGTCAAAACTTCATTAATAGGAATTTAGAAGAAATTCCACACAATATGAAACTTTCAAAGAAAATTTCTTTCCTTTTTTTATTTTCAATATTTTCTTTTCTTTTTGTTGCGATAATTTTAAAAAAAAAGTTATATAATTTTGATTCGTAAAAAAACTGAATATTACAAATTATGCTGAATAATAATGTAAAATATTTTTTCAATGATTTGTTGTAAAAAAAATTTCGTTTTTCTGAATTGCAAAATAATTTCACTAAACGAATGCGATAGAAAGTATCAAATATTTAATAATTATTTTTTGAAAGAATTTATTTTTACAAAGTTTCGTTCATTAAATAAAGTTGTTGAGCTGTTTGTGTGCGTATATATGTGTGTATGTATGTGTGCATATGTATGTGTATGTGTCTGTGTATGTGCATGTGTATATTTGGAAATATATCTGGAAATTTGCTGTGTGATGTGGTATCCTTATGTATGTGTATATGCAAGTGTGATGTGTGGTGTATGTGATGTGTATGGGTATGGCATATCTATATAGGCGTAAGTATGGTATGCGGTGTGGTTTGTATGTGCACATATATATTATATATATATATGTGGAAATGTATTACGTAATATGTATGTATGTGAATGTGTGTGGTGTGCTCTGTGCACATGTAAGTGTGGTAGTACATATATTCTAGTATTCAATAAATATTTGTGCGTGCAGTTTTGTTTATATATGCAAATGTATATTTATTGTTTTGCATGTATGTATGTTTATATATATGTATGTGTGCGTGCATTTAATTTTGCATGTATATATGTGTGTGTGTGCATTTATTTTTGCGTTTATGTATGTGTGCATTTATTTTTGCATGTATGTATGTGTATGTATATGTATGTGTGCGTGCATTTAATTTTGCATGTATATATATGTGTGTGTGCATTTATTTTTGCATGTATGTATGTGTATGTGTATGTGTATGGTATATGTATATGTTTGTGCATTTATGTGATTTCTTTTTTTTTTAAATACTTTTTTTGATAAAAAACTGCAAGAAAAATCAATTTAGTGCAAAAATTTATTGTATAAAAAAAAATTTATATATAAAGAACTAATAAAAGCGAGCGAGCGACTCATCAATATTGAAAATTTACCAAACGATTTTTTTTTTTGGAAAAATCTCATCATTTTGTTCAATTGAAAATTGTTTGTTGTTGAAGAAAACCAAAGCAGTTCACCTTGTTCTCGGTGCGTTCTATATGAACGATGATAGATTTATTTCTTGAAATAACCGATCAGTTCGTTAGTTAGTTAGTTAGTCACTCATTCAGTTAGTCAGTCAGTCAGTCAGTTAATCAGTTAGTTAATCAGTCAGTTAATCAGTTAGTTAATCAGTTAGTTAATCAGTTAGTTAGTTAATAAGTAAAAGATAGTTATTTTTAGTTAATATTGCTTTATATAACGAAATATTATTTCAAAATTTTTTTAATTTAATATTTTAAATTTCAATAATTAAATTTATTTTTGTTCATTAATTTTTTTTTCTATTTTATTATATTCTTTTTTTAAAAAAAAAAAAAAAATCGATGAATTTTACGCGTATAAATTATTATTTCTTTTTATTTTATTCGACTAAATTTGTTCGATTATTATTTTTTTTTTTTATTAATTCTTTAATTTTTATTATTTTTCTACAT